AAGGGAGAGCCAACTTTTTGCAACCAGGGGATTACATTTTCATTTCTAAAAACAGGAGGAATGGGAAGGATGTAGCCAGAAACAAAATTACAGAGCCCAACATTAGAAGGTGTGGAACGGCAATCTTTTGCCCTTATTTTTCCCAGGTAATACAAGAGAAAGAGATTTTCAGGGAAGGTCAGATGGGGAACAGAGGTCAGATTGGCCTTTCGTGCGTGTTGTGCTGGGAGATGGAAAATTTGGTCCTTGTTAAGCCTACTCAGCTTATCCAATTGCCTCGAGTTCTTTCTCAACCTAGGCAGAGTTTTACTGGCCCGTTCTAATCAGAACTTTCCCTTTGCTGAAAGAAATACTTTTCTGAGGCTAAATGAAGCCACTTTGATTTCAAACAGCCTTGTTGAGCTAGATATCCTGGTTTCAAAACTGAAATAATAATGGATGATGATTAGAGAGCCAGTCTGGTCTACCTGTTAAGGCACCAGGCTACAAACCAGGAGATGGTGAGTTCTAGTCCTACCTTAGGTGTGAAAGCTGGCTGGGTGATTTTGGGCCAGTCCTTCTCTCTTGGCCCAACGCACCTCACAGGGTTATTGTTGTGAGGAAAATAGGAGGTGGAAGGAGTATTAAGTATATTCATGCCTTGAGCTACCTATAAAGACAGCATAAAAAATCAAATAGATAAACATATCAGGGCAATTATGGGGAATTGGAATAATAGGGAGATAAGTTTATGAATACAAATGGGCTAGTCCTTCCAAAAATGGCAATTAAATGGTCTCCTTTATTTCAAATAACATATATAATAATGGAGATCTATTTGACGAGCTAAAAGCACTAATATGGAAGCCTAGTTGGCAAAGGAAGAAAGCCAGAATAAGGCTGAAGAAAATTGATGTTTTGATTTATTGGAGGGGATTTCATATTGTTAATTAGAGGGTTAAAGGGAGAAGTTGAGGTAAGGGGAATTCTGGGCATTAGATTTAAAATATTTGGAAATTAGTTGAAAATAAGGATTTTATCTGTTTAATATTTAAAAATTAGACCTAAAAGAAAAAAAAATTAATTATTATGAATATGTTTGATTTATTGATTAACTCAGGTAATATATACAATGGTTTTGATTTATTAAAGGAGATATTGTATTATAAAGTAGATTATTTAATATGGTGGGAAATAAATAACTTTTAGGAAATAGAACAAGATTATATTCAAATAGATAAAATGTGTATTTTGGATATTAGATTCTGTTATGAACTGAGATAAGGGAAATCTTGGTTACCTAAAACCTGAAAATTATAAAGATTAAAGATTAAATTGGAATATTGATGGGAAACTAAAAATTGGGAAAAAATTAATAACAGGATATGGATTGTTTATGAAGATTGACTATAAAATAATTAATACGTATAAGCTAAAAATTTATTGATAAATGTAATAATGATTTTTTACTAAGTTGGTATAATAAGAATGGTATTAGCTTAAATACGAGACAGTAAATGTTAAGGGAAAAAGAGAGGAAATATTTGATGTTGTAATTTGAGATTTGTACTAAAGATTTTGTCCTATTGAACTATTGATTAATCCAGCCACCACATTGCTTTTTAAATACTTAAATGTAAAATTGGAAAATTAATAAAATATTATATAAAAAATAATCAAACAAATAAATAGCAAAATTCATCAGGACACCTGCGGTTGCATCAAATCTGGAGCAGCATTTTCAGTGAGGCACCACATTGCTCAACTTTGCCCTGTTTAGTTCAATGCACTATTTAATAAGGTGTCTATTTCAGAACAATGCAAAGTCAGAGGCACAAAACTCGAACCCAGAGCCATCCTTGAAGGTGGGATGAAGGCCTCCCACTAACCCCACCCCAAGTCAATTTCTCTGCAGGCTTCCACCTTTGCTCCTTGGGGTCTCCCTTGTAGGAAGGCCCTGGATGGAGAAGGGGAAGAAAGGTTAATATTGGTTCAGTTCTTGAGGGGGGGGGTCTATTCTCAACCCACATGGACTCCCGCTCTGTTCACACTTAAAGATTAGTGGCTCCATTTGCATGTCCTAAACTTGGTTAACATTAGCCATAGTCAAATGATGGCTTAATGTGTTGTGCAAATCCAGCCACTTTGGTTAGGTTATATTTGGCTTACTATATGAAAGCAGAGCATTCAAATCACTGGATCTGAAGGGCTGGGAGGAACCAGCGATGTAAACTTGTTGGGAACAATTGTCCAGCCAGCTCTATATCAAGAACATTTCCTGTTTCTGTGGTCAAAAATTAATTTGTTGAGCACATTGACAAATCCCTTTAACACAGAGAAAGATTGCTAATAAACCATGGGGAAAATGGATCAAGATGCATCCCTCAATGGGCACCAAAAGGTCATTACCCTGTTAGCCCATCCCCCTTTCTCTGGCAGTGGTGTGATGCCAAGTTCCGGTTGGCCAACCTGAGAGATTATGGACCGGCAGGGCAGGTAGGACAGCACTGCTCTTAGATTTTCTGGAAAATGTGGTAGAAGGTGTGTAAGCAAACAAATATGGTGGTTGAAAAACCACAGGTGTTATGAAATGCTTACAACAAGGAGGTCCTTGACTCAGACTAACGTTGGGGGTGGGAGAGGGAGGGACAGGAATTGTGAGCCAGATGTTTTTAGGAGCTCCTAAAGGGTCCAGATCACACCTCAAAGAATCTCTGGCTGAAAGACCAACTTTCAGCTACTTTTCTTCCATATTTCCAGTAATCAGAACCCAACTAATAACATATATCTGTTAGGAAAAGTTTACAAGATAAGAATATTACTATACATTCAATATAAAGCCATACTAATAGGGAAATAACCTTTTTCAAAACGTTTCAAGTTAAATGAAACACAAGATTAAATTATATCAGCTGGGGAATACCAGATGTGCTGGAGGCTCAGTGCTGTGATTTCCATTAAAAGAAGAGTTTGAACTAACAAGAAATGTCCTTAATGAGCTTTAAAAAAACCACAACACCCAAAATGCTTCAAGTTTGCAGCCTTCCATTTTGTCTGGAGGGATTTCCTGAGCCACGAATGCCGGTTAGGGAGGCTGCCCTTTCTGTCCGGGCCCCATGACGTCTCTGAACAGGCAGGCCGCGTAAGGCAATGTAGGGATTAAGCCGAGGGGTTGTGGAAATGACTAGCAGGGATTCTAGTCCTGATGCAACCAGCTATTCTGAAGCGCGTCTCACGCCCAGACATGCAGGAGGATGAGCACCTCTCGTGCCCAGAACACAACTCATTCATTCAGTGTTTTATTCCAGAGTTGCCATGTGAAATTGGCAATCTTGCCGTACTGGAAGGCCTGTTACAAGGAAGAGGGTGTGGATCTCTTCTCCACAGCTCTTGCGGGCAGCAGAAGAACCGGTGGGCAGAAGGGGAGGGAGGGAGGACCTGCCTGGCTGGGGAGAGCCTTGATAGGGGGGGGGAGGGCTTGGCTGCTGGAGGGCTGTGGAGGGTTTCCAGCAAAGGCGAGACGGCCATTTGTCGGCCATGGCTTGGGGACTCCTGCCCTGGGTAGAGGGCTGGACTAGAAGACCTTCAAGGTCCCCTCCATGATTTTATAAAATCTCCATTTGAAGAAAGGTTTAGAGTTAGCAGTTGAACTAGCTAATATTAAACTAATATTAAGTGATTGAAGTAACACAAAGGAAATTCATAGCAAACACTATCATAAGAAAATATTTTTAGTCTTAGCCTCTCATCAAGTCGAGACCAGAGTCAGGCAAGGGTGATGGGCAGTCTAGAAATTTAATAAATAGGCAAATTTAGCTTTATTTCCCTGTCGTAAGGCAAGACTTTATAGCTTTTGCTTTGATGTTGAAATTGATAAGGTGACCAACCGTCCTCCTTTAGTAAGTTCTGTCCTCCCTCGAAAAGTGTCCTCCTACATGACCTCCTTTTTGATATTTGAAGACTAATCTGCAGGGCTTTTTTTTTTCTCATAGAACACTCAGAACGGCATTCTGGCACCTTTTTTGATGGTTTTTTTTTTCAACTTTTGCATGAGCTGTGCTACTCCCGCTATTGGCTTTCGAAAGCCAATAGGGATTGCTGCTGAGCGTGCCAAAACACCCAACCGGCAAACTTTGCACATGCAAGTTGTCTGCAGCGAAGGCGAATTGGCAGGAACTTAGCACCCCTGCCTGCTACCCAACTACACTATCTCCTAGTTAGTTCCGAAGATACTGTGCTGTGGGAGCCACGGGGCCCTCTCTACGCGGGGCTGCGCAGGGTGGGTGGTGGTGCTGGCAGGACAGCTGCAGGCAGGGTGTGTCGACGGCAGGCTGCCCCCCAGGGCTGGAGCTGGCGCGGCTGGTGCTTTGGGAGCCACAGAGCCCGCTCTACATGGCAGGGCAGCGGTACTGGTGGGGTGGCTGCGGGCAGGGGCATGGCAGGCGGTTGACCTTCCATGGGCCGAGCCAGTTTTTACGATATTTTTTTCTTCAATTTATTTGTGTCCTCCTTTTCATTGTAAAAAAGTTGGTCACCTTAAAATTGAATGTTTGCCAAAGTACATGATGACAAACCAAATGCCTAAAACTCTTATGTTCAGAAGCTGATCTCCAGCTTTAGAAAACATCCCGTGATCTATTTTTCCAAACAGTAAATCAATGAAGAGCATAATTTGAGATGTTTTTACTAAGACTCAAACACCAGGAATTCAAGAGGAGGGATGCCCAGGTGCCAAATAGAGCATTTGGTAGTGAAATAAAATGTCACTTTCCACAAAAGTATGGGGGGGGGTTGTGAAAGGCCCCCTTACAGGGCTGCCCTTTTCCCGGTCCACTCAGGAGAGAGACAAGAGGCAGAGGCAGCGGCCTGGTCCGGCCATTCAGTCAGCCACTCGTCCTCTGCAAGGCCAGCCAGGAGGAGCAGGAGCCCACCCTGGCAGGGGGAAGGGTTGGCCGATGGGGCCGTGCCCACAGCCAGCGAGTCAGTGACCTGTCAGTGCTGATTCACTCTGAGGCTCTGGAAGGGAGAAGCTGCAGGAAGCCAGGGCCCCTCTGAAACAGGCCTGGGTGAAAGCAGGCCTGCTGAGCCCCGTAGGCACTCAAGGCAGGGAACAATGGGGCTGGTGGGGACCTGCTGCTCTCACCTTGAACAGCAGCAGCAGCAGCAACAGCTGGGAGCAGGAAATCAGGACTTCAGAGTCTTCTTCTGGTAATCCAAGATGGACTCTTCCCCAGAACTGCTGGAGACCTCTCCCAATGACCCCCAACTTGGAATGCAAGGGCTTCATCCACGGAGAGCTGCAACCAGGGCAGTTGTGTGTGGGGGGGGGCTGGGGCAGCTGGAGCAGAAAGATTTTCCCACATTTGGGAGCCTTTGATCTTCCCCAGCTGCTTCTTTCCAGAGAGATTGCCCAAGGGAGGAAAGGAAGGAATCCCCATAGATCGCTTTGGGATCAGAAGGAGCTTTGCTTCCGGAAGTTGCTCCGTATAACAACAGGTAATGGTGGCAAGAACATATCTCCTGTCCCTCATCTCACCCCACCTCCAGCACACTGGGGAGGGGGAGGGCAGGGAGGCTCTGAATTTCAGGTTGCAGGTGGGGGGGGGCTCTGTACTGATATCAGGTCATGCTGTTTGTGCCTTTTTCGGGAGGCACCTCACAACGGACTGTGCAATCTGTTCCTGTCATGATGTCAGAATCCAATTATATTTCATCTCTAGTTATCAATTATAAAAAAACCCATTTCTGCCCTCTCTGGATTCTGCCATACGATGAAGGGAAGGGGGTGAACAAAGGGGCTTTATGGCCCTCACTTCCTTCAGTATACTTCAAAGGGACTGGATGTGGATATCGCCAAAAGGACTAACCATAACAAAGGGGCTATTACCTTCATGTAGTTCTCTCTGAAGTCTCCACCCAGCCGGCAGTAAGGAAAAGGGGGTGGGAGTGTAATGCCTGAGACTGTCGCTGGAAGAGGGGGGTGATTGGGTGGGGCTACTGGGGAACCCCTTAAAACCTCGAATGGGAGAGCTTGGACCCCAAGTCCTGTCTAGAACGCCTGCAACCATTTTCTCTTAATAAAGGATGCCTGTTGGAAGAACTATTCCAAGAGTTCTGTCTTCTTAAGATGTAAAGTGGGGTGGGTCCTTACACATGACTTGAGGCTCCCCTGGCTTTTTTGGAGATCTTCCTTTCTGGTGAAACACAAAATATGGCGGGTGGGGGGGGGCAGGAGGACTAGAGGTGGGGGAATTCACTGATGATTTGGTCAGGGGGAAGCATGATTTCCTATTTGTTCACAGGACCCATCTTTGTTACCAGCCTTCATGACAATATGAGCTTTGCAGCCATTATCTATAGCGGTGCTTACTTATTTGAAATAATCGGTCGTGTTTCTGTCTTCTGGGACTCCCAAGCAATGTCACATTTCTAGAAACTGGATGAAAACATAGGAAACCTCAAGACTTTGAGGCCAATGCGCCAGCTGAAGCCATCGATTACAAGAAGCTTCACCCACCCCTCGGCCAGAGCTCTCCCCCAACGATCTGGGGAGGGTTGCCTATTCCTCTGTGTGGTGAACTGTCCTTGTTTCTGCCTTGACTGTTCTGGCACTTCTGCTAATCCACCTCTCCTTTTATTTCTCAAGAAATATGAACACGAAGCTCTTGAAGATCGGGATCCTGACGGCGGTGCTCTTGGCCATTGCAATTGGCGTTGGGCTGTTCTTTGGGCTGCGCCCACAGCCACAAAATCACATCTACGCAAAGGCAGCAGTGGCTACCGATGCAGGCCCCTGTTCGGTCATCGGGAGGTAGGTGTTGCTGGTCGGTGGCAGGAAAAACCTGCAAGTCTTCATTTTTTCAAAATCCACAATCCAGACAGCCTCCAAATGGCGTCTGAGGTAAAAGCTCTGCCAGAGGAATTCGCTTTTTCAGCCGAATAAAAGAGAACCGCTGTGGTGTTGTGGTTAAGACCACAGGCTAGAAACCGGGGAGCTGTGAGTCCAGCCCCACCTTGGGTACCCAGCCAGCTGAGACCCCTTGGGCCAGCCACTCTCTCTGAGCCTTAGGAAGGAAGCAAGGGCAAATCACCTCTGGAAAACTTTGCCAAAAAAACTTCACTTCAAAGGCTCAACTCTGACTTGGAGGCACAACAAACGATGAACAAATAAACAAAACCCTCACACAGAACAGCACTCACTGCTCCTGGTTACCCCTTTTGTTTCAGGGGTATAATTTAGGGGTATGAAGATGTTTCTGCGTCTGTGTCCTTCAATAAATAATTGAGTGTAAAAAATCATTTCTAATTTGTTACAAATCTATCAGTAGGTACCGATTGGCTGGCCAGCTGCCTTCCCCACCCCTCTAATTCTAACCCTAATCCTAATTCTAATTCCAAATGATGTCGGCTTCTTCCACCAGTCACTTCTGGATCTGGGACTTGCAGCCCTAAGAAAACTAAAAAAAATTCTGGCTTGCTTTAGCACCAGCATCTGGCTAGATGCAGCCTCAGAAGTCCTTAAGCAGCAGAACAGAATGGAATAACAGAGTTGGAAGGGACCTTGGAGGTCTTCTAGTCCAACCCCCTGCTCAAGCAGGGGACTCTATAGTATTCTGGATAAATGGCTGTCCAGTCTCTTCTTAAAAAATCTCAAGTGATGGAGCACCCACAGCTTCTGGAGGCAAGCATTCCATTGGTTGATTGCTGTGTCAGGAAATTCATCCTTAGTTCTAGGTTGCTTCTCTCCTTAGTTTCCATCCATTGCTTCTTGACTTGCCTTCTGATGCTTTGAAAAATAGGTTGCCCCCCCCTTTTTTGTGGCAGCTCCTTAGATATTGAAACATTGCTATCATGTCACCCCCAGTCCTTCTTTTTTCTAGACAAAACATATCCAATTCCAGCAACCATTCTTCATATGTTTTGGTCTCAGCCCTTAATCATCTTAGTTGCTCTTCTTCCCTTAGTCTTGGGGAACTCCTTTGGCCAGCTGTGATCTCCTTCTTTCTCCTTGCAGGGACATCCTTCAGAAAGGGGGATCCGCTGTGGATGCTGCCATTGCCAGTCTCCTGTGTGTGGGCCTGATGAACCCCCACAGCATGGGCATCGGAGGGGGCCTTTTTTTCACCATCTTCTCAGCAGAGGGTAAGGAGGGCAGGAGCTGTGGTGGCCTCGTGTAGGGATTCCAGAAAATGTGCACGGAAGACAGGGTCGGTCTTCCCAGCTCTGCTGATCAGTGGGCCTTTGCCTACTTTTGGCACTGAGAGTAAAATTACTCTCACTTGTTGTGAAAACAAGTGGGAGTGATAAGTCAACACACACACACACACACACACACATGCAGCCATGCTAAGATCTTGTAGGAGGTCTCCTGAAGGATGGTTGACTTGTTCAGCATGTTAAATAGGTTGTGTACACCACCCTAAGAATTAGAAACGGAAGGGATTTGCAAGCTCACATAAGCAACCCCAGATACCTTGGAGACTTTTATTCATTTGGGTTAATATTCACCAAGATAAGGGAAAGCTGGCATGCTGCCAGCAAAATGCCAGAGTCTACCTATCTTTAAATATTTCCAAGGATGCTCCAAAAATACACATTGCTTCCACAGGCATGAGGAGAAAACTTGGGTGGCTCAACCCCTGCTCAGCTTAGAAGGTTGTCCGACTTTTCACAGAGACACACGCACACAGAAGGTTATCTGGAACATGGAGTAGCCTTCTGGGAACGAGGGGGGGTAGGGCTGGTCCTGGGGTCATGAGGAGTAGAGCAACTTGGCCTCCCCCTTTTCTGGTAAATGAGATTTTGTTGACAGACCTCCCCTGTTTGACGATATTGCCCATAAAATGCTGTCAAATTTCAGATATGCCTGCTGGGCCAAACGTTGCTACTTAGCTCTTGAAAAGTAACACTTCTGTTTCAAAAAACAGGCATGAGGTCAATGTCAAATGATATACAGAGAAGTAGCTGGTGACTGACTGCTGAACCGGCACAGAGACAGGGCATCCAGAATGACTTTTGTTCCTGAAGTGCAGAAACTTTGCAAAGAAACCATTGAAGCCGATCTCTGACCTTTCTTTGAATTATGCCTTGAAGATGTCACTCAGAAAGCTTGGATGGGTTGATGCATTAACTTGCCCAAGAACTTACCTTGTTCCTTACCTTCCAAGGGAAAGTGGAAATCATTAACGCCAGAGAAGTGGCACCCAAGAATGCGTCCCGAGACATGTTTGGCAACAACACCGCTCTGTCCCAGAAAGGTAAAGCAAGGGGCAGGCACTGCCAGTGGTGGCTGGCTGCACGTAGGAGCCCCTCCTCATGAGCTTGGGATCAAGGGTCCGTGGACCTCAAGAGAGTCTGAACTGACCAGGCTCAGGAAAGTGTGGGATGGTTTGGCTGGCCAGGACCACCCACTGTGCAAGAAGATTCACTGAGTATCTCATGTCTTCTGTGGTCTTGTGCATCTACTCACCCACCTTTACCTTCCTGCCTGTGATCTGAGCTGAGTGGTCATCAGAGACGCTCTAGGGCAGGGCTTTTCAACCGGTGGTACGCGTACCACTTGTGGTACATTAATGAGTGGCAGATGGTACACAGCCTTGCCTAGCCAAGTGTAATGGGGGAGGGAAAGAGCCAGCTCAGGCAAGGACTTGCAGTGAGAGAGTCCTCTGGAGCTTTAAAAGCCCCAGGCTCACTTCTGGCTCACCCTCCCCCATGAGAAAGGAGGAGAGGGGCGGAGACAGGACAGCCTATAAAAGGAGGCAGTTTGGGCAGGAGAGGGAGGGAGAGAGAAAAAAAACAGCAGCCTTGGGAGGAGGCAGAGTCAATTGCAGGGGGGGGATGGGAATGGTGGGGGGAGAGGAGATCAAGCAGGCTGGCCATGAGCCGATCTACAACTGCTGTGGCAGCCACCTGTGCTGGCAGCAGCAAACAGGCAAGAAATGCAGCGGGGGAGGGGTCACCCTCCAAGAGGAATGAAAAAAGGCATCAATGGCTGGAGGTGAGGCATGGAGGAGGGAAGGAGGAGAGTGGAAGAATTCTTATGTGCTTTTGTGACTTTGAAATTCTGGGATTTGTGCAATGAGGGCTTTGTGTTCTTAAGGAGTGTTTGGCAATTTCTATTTGGCTGATGGCTGATGGCTGGTGTTAGCTTCTATTGCTCTGCTATTGTTAGCTGTAAGTTTTGCTGCAAGGGATTTTGAAGTATTTTTCTCCTGAATGGATTTTGCCTGTAGCATTCCTTTACTTATGAATGGAGCCACTTGGGGAGGCTGCCTTAGCCGGCAGCCAATAATTACATTTTTCTTTCTTCCTTAAGTGCTGTGCTCCTTACTTTCCTTTCTAGCCAGTAGCTAATTCTTAAAGGGGAATGTGCCTTTTAAGCTAGTTCACTCAGCAGCTTGTCTTTTCTGTCTCTGGAGGCCTTTCCTTGTTTGATCAATATATGGAAGAGAGAAAATATGGGAGGGGGGTTCAAATTCTTCCTTCAGAAGGAGATGGGAATGAGAAAAAGGGAGGGAGGGAAGGGAGGGAGGAAAGGAAGTCCCGCCTTAGCACTTGGCCACCAGCAGCTCTGCCATTGACTTTGTTTGTCAAAAGGTTGCAGAAGGGGATCACATGACCCTGGAACACTGTGACCATTATAAATATGAATCAGTTGCCAAGCATCCAAATATAAATCACATAACCCTGGGCATGCTGCAATGGTCATAAGTGTGAAAAATGGTCATAAGTCATTTCAGTGCAATTGCAACTTTGAACAGGTTTTTTTTTTTTGGTCATCAAGTTTTTGACACCTTGCTAGGTGGTACTCGAATACTGCCATATCCTAAAAGTGGTACAATCGGTAAAAAGGTTGAAAAGCCCTGCTCTAGGGGATCCTGCACATCAAGGTTGGTTCCCTTAAGGTCGCTTCTAGCCCTATGATTCTTGGCCTTGAAAATGCATAGACTTTGCAAGTGAGATTAAGAGTAATTACTGATTGTACAAGTAATAAAGATGTCTACCTACAAACTACATGCTACTTAAAAACTCTACTCAAAATGAGTGTTTCTTTCTTGGACACTTCCAACAGGAAGAAGGCATTGCCTAAGTCAATGACTCTTGCAAATTATTTCTGGTCACGGTTTATAGTGAAGCAGAAAACAGATTATGGGAGGAAACCAAAATGATGTTGATGGTCTTGGATGAGAGAGGAGTGGGCTGGCCAGAGTCCTGATCTCTGTGTCTTTTGCCTGCTCCAGGTGGATTATCCATTGCAGTTCCAGGAGAAATCCGTGGCTACGAAATGGCCCACCAACGACATGGCAAACTGCCTTGGAAGGAGCTGTTTCAGCCCAGCATCCAGTTAGCCAGAGAAGGCTTCCCTGTTGGTAAAGGCCTGGCCAAAGCCCTGGAGTCCAGGAGCAGTGAAGTTGAAAGCATCCCATCCTTGTGGTAGGCGGTTGGGGAGCACCTCAGCTCAAGGCAGGCCATGTCCTGCTGGGGGTGGGGTGTGGGGGGAGATGTGTCCTCTTCTCAACAGGGGGGTGGCTATCTAGGTCGACTCAGGGACCAGCTGGGAAGGAAGGAAGGAAGGAAGGAAGGAAGGAAGGAAGGAAGGAAGGAAGGAAGGAAGGAAGGAAGGAAGGAAGGAAGGAAGGAAGGAAGGAAGGAAGACCATTGTGCAATTTGGGGAAAATCTCCTGCAGCACTCCATAGAACCACCCCTAGTGTTGGCCTCACAGCCTTTTATCAGCAGGTCAAACCTTCCTCTTTGTCTAGGCAGGTTAAGGTGACCAATCAGTTCCCTGTATATCTGGCTGCTTCTGCTGCTTCATGAGGGCATCTTAGAGTTTGGTGCATAAATATGAAAGTAGCATTAAAAAGTACTGAAATAGACTGGATGTTCCAGGTTCACGGATGGGGCCATGTTCGGGGTCTCCTCAACAGCATCCCTTTCCTAGGATTCCTTGAAGCGCGGAAGGGTGAGGTGGCCTCCTTATCTCAATTCCAGCCAGGAAAGTTTCCCAGTCAGCAGCTCAGCTCAGCTAACTGGGGTGAGGGAGGCTAATGAGAGGCCCTTGGAATGTGGGTGACTGAGAAGAGGATACGTGGCAGGGAGAGACTGTCATGGTTCCATGTGTGGCTGGAATTCGAAGACGTGGAGACACCATATTTGTTCACTGATTAATTCTGCCTGTTATGGAACAAGATAATTAGAAATCAAGAGGCAAGAGGTGCAGGAAAGAGAGAGGCTGAGATTGAGCTAATTATATGTGCTTCGTAAGCAGGTTCCTGCTAAATTTTAGGGTGAGAACTAGGGGCAGCAGGACACCTGATACGACTCATGACTTTGTTTTCCTTGAATTTTGTTTCTACGCAAAACCCACCCTAAGACAGGACATGCTTTGGAAAAAGTATAAAATGAACTCACCTTAAAAGGGGGGGGGTTTGCGCTCACTTTGAACAGAAAAGAAGCTTTAAAAGGTCTCTCTATCCAGGGTAACCTAACTGAGTGGGGCACACCAGGTTAGGGACCCCCAATGCTCCTAGGAGCAGGAGAGGAGAGCCCACCAAGTGGTTTATGTAGCCCAGCAGGTACCAGATTTTAAGCAGACACGCACCAGGGCAGGGCCTGTGTTGTATAATGAAAGGAACAGAACAGAATATAATAGAATATAGAATAACAGAAAGATAGAGAATAGAATAGAATAGAATAGAATAGAATAGAATAGAATAGAATAGAATAGAATAGAATAGAATAGTTTTTTTATTGACAAAGTGTGATTGGGCACTCAAGGAATTTGTCTCCAGTGCATAAGTTCTCAGTATATATACAAACAACAAATGATAGGTCATATATCATAGATCATAATTACAATCATTAATCATAATACACAACAAAGGCTGATAAATCATAGACATCAATAGGAGAAGGAAGATGGGAAAGATGAGAAGATAAGAAGTATAATATCAATACAGCCCTACTGCATGGGTAAAATATCTTTAGGCCTAAGACGGTGCTGTGGGAATTAAGTGTTCATCAGAGTGAGGGACGGAAGAAAAACTATCTTTGTGTCTAATTGTTTTGGCATGCAATGCCCTATTGCGGCATCCAGAGGAGAGAAGTTGAAACAGTTCATGTCCAGAATGTGAGGGGTCTGTAGATATTTTCACAGGGGTCTATGACAATTCACCAACTCGCCATGGCCAACTCACCACAGGAGTTGCTGGACAAAAGTTACACTAATCACAAAGAAATAATGGAATAGAATCATTAAAGAAAGGGTGTAAAAGAAGGGACAGAATGAAATATAATCAACAAAAATTAAAATATTTTTTTATTTATTTTAAACAATTAAATAGAATTGTTAAATTGTTTCGCAGTAAGCTGTCCCATGGCAAGTTGGCTGTGGCGAGTTGTTCCATTCTCTTTCACAGTCCTTTTTCTGGCCCGTGCAGCCCGGTCCTCAGTGGGAGGCAGGCTGGTAGCAATTGTTTTTTCTGTAGTCCTAACTATCCATTGAACTCTGTGCTTGTCCTGTTCGGTTGCAATTCTGGCTGGGGAATTCTGGGGGATGAAGTTGACGCCTCTGCGAGAAACTCCGGCAGAGCTTGCGGCTCTCTCTCCAATAACGCCTTTGTCTTCAGTGAGGTCTTCTGCAAAAGCGGGAAGGTGCTGCAGGAGAAGCAGCTCCTCCGCCTGCCCAAACTGGCCAGCACCTATGAGACCATCGCCAAGCAGGGTGCAGACGCCTTCTACACTGGCAGCCTGGCACAGCAGATGGTGGCCGAGGTCCAAGACGCAGGTGAGCAGCACAAACGATCTGCAAAGCAGGGGCTCGGTTGTCGCTGTCTCGCTGCTGTGTCCCGCCCTGATTCTGAGGGGGGGTGTGTGCATCCCTGCACTCAGCACCTGGCCCAGGGCAGGGTCTGCCCTGCTGGAAGGTCTGCATACACATACCAAGCACCCTCTTTCTGGGGGGGGGGCTTTTTCTGCTAGCCACGTAACAAAACTTGTTCCATGGCAAATTATAATAAATGAGGATATTTGTTCCAAAAGAGCTGATGGTATTTCAAAGCCATCTGAGAACATTGCCCCATAGTCTATCTTGGGGGGGGGGCACTCTGCAAAGGTGACCTTGCCACAGAACTGTAATGGACTGTGTGGGTGACCGTGGGGGACGAGGGGAGGAGAAGCTGCCTAGGAAGCAACCAGCAAGAGAGGCTGGAGTCCCTAGTGGCTAAACGGATAGAGGAAGAAACTTAGAAATGGATCTGCACTAATGGATCGAGTACTTTTGTGGCCGAGGGAAGCTTCTGTCTTCAGACTGGCAAGATTTTGTTAATGCAGCCTTACAGTAAAGGAGCGTTAGCTCATCAGGTTGCGCTTCCTGTCTGGTTTGGCTAGGAGGGCTGACAAGTGTTTTTTTTACTAACCTGCCTTTCAGCTGCATTCTGTTTCTCCATTCGCTTCTCACCCTTTGCCGCATGTTTATGGGACAAAAAAAGAAGTTCAATTAGACTTTCTAACTTCTTGAGATCTCGTGTGAAGGGTGTGAAGCGAAGGGAGAGACAAAATGCAGCTGAAAGGCAGGTTAGTAAAAAAACACTTGGGGGAGGTGAGGGCATCTGGGCGGGGGCAGGCATGGCAACCTTACCCTGTGTGGCTTTGGCAGGTGTCTGCACAGGCCCCGCCCCACCCCACCCCACCCCCACACACTCGTGGCCTACTGGTGTTGATACCAGCAAAAGTAAGCTCTCCCCCAAAGTAAAACCCTGTGCTTACTTCAGAGCCCAAAAGAAAGTAAGACAGTGTTCTATTTTCGGGGAAATATGGTACCTGTCTCTAGCTTCATGCAGGAGTAGTTCTAAAAGACGGGACCTATTTCTCATCCTTCTAGTCACTATATTTTGTTCCCCTTCTGAGTGGGGAAGGGGAAGGCAGCCCTTCCTCCAGCCCTTCTGAGTGGGGAAGGGGAAGGCAGCCCTTCCTCCAGCCATTCCTCCCTTCCTTCTTTCATGGTTCCGACTAATGAAACACTTCAAAGAACTTCCAGGCATGTTTATCCTAAAGCCTTTATTAACAGTGTTACAAATTGACCGCACATCATGGAGGTTTGAAATCTTTCCAGTGACTCACCCAAAGCTTTGTTATCTCTCCATTCTGCTTTTGAAGTCTTTACTCCCAGCTGGGAGATCTGCCAGAGTTCTTTCTCCCCCAGCTGGCTGGCTGCCACTCCACTCCCTGGGGAAGCTGCTGCAGCTGAGGGGCTGGCCTCAAGCCATCTCTCCCCTTTCATAATGAGATCTTCCCCAAATCTTTATCAGTCTACCCCTTAGTTTAGGAATAGTGATTGGAGTTCGGGACCCCTTAATTGGTTTGAAAAATTTGTAGATTCTGGAATGACACCAGCCTTCTTCAGCTCAAGAAGGGAAATGGACTCTGTCTATGGACATCCTTGGTCTTCTAACTGGCTTTCAACCACCTTCTGGGTCATTATAACACTTGTGTCAACTTTAGAAATGAGCATGGCTGTAGCCATTTTCCATATTCATTTTCAGTTGACACCTAGAAAGGAGGGAGGGGGATTGCCAGGTGCTTTGCTAGTCTAAATAAACTTTTATCCGGTGGGAACAAGGTCATTGGCTGCTCTCAAGACTGAAAAGCCCGCCAAGAAGATGTATTGGGGAACGTAGTTGCTTGCATAACCTTAGGGGTGAGATTTCTTAACTTTGTATTGGGGAATTGTTACGTGTGTCTTCAGACTTGGTTTCATTTTTGAAGTGCCGATACTTTGTAACTAATAAACATGTTCTTTGAGGAATTTGCGGGCCTCAGAGTTCATGACAACCTGCTCTTTCATTAGCTGTTGGTACTGCCATCAATGCTTCTGGGCAGCCCCTTTGGGGCGTCTCTGTGCACTTTAGCTTTGGCTTCCAAGAATTGGTGATGGCAAGAGAGTCTCGAGATGGCATTCAGAGACCCACTTCACATTCCTGTAGATGAAATTAAGAAATGCTATTCAGAAACTGGCTGAAAATTTGAAAGGAAAGCTCCTGGCCTGGAGTACAAACTCACTTTAGAGAGAGGAAGTCAGCTGAGAAGTCAGGACTTCTGAATTGTAGCAGTAGCTTTCTGATAGGGGCAGGGAGGGTGCAGTGCTCGCTGCCCCTCTAGCTCAGATCCCAGATAAGCTATCCTCCTTGGAGAAGTCGGACTGTTCGTGGAGCCATCAAAACCTTGAAACACATCTTAGTAGCTTAGAAAGCTGATATTTGACCTCAGTGGCCTGATAACTAGAACCAAATGCTGCAAACTCTTTCCCTCTCTGTGAGAGGTGAGAGCTGGCATGAGCCCCTCTGCAGCCCTCAGAAAGTGCTCCAACGCACTTTCTGACTCATCTGCAAAACAGAACATTAAAAATACAAGATATAAGTTAAAACAATACAAATCAAACCAGAATTAAAATTAACCAAAGTTAAGAGCCAATAAAGCTTAGAAGATATGTTTTTATTGTTAAATATTGGGAGAGGATGTCCAATGCTTCTCCCATTATCTGGGCGCCATGTGAGTGACCTTCCCCCGGGAGCAAGACGGAGCTCCTGGCAGTGGGGGAGCCAGAGCTGGGGGATGTGTGTGTGCATCATCTCCACATGTCCAGTGGATTACCTCCACATGTCAGGATTACCTTCCTTCTGTTCCAGGTGGGATCCTTACCATGGAGGACTTGAGGGATTACCGACCAACCCTGGAAGAAAACCCTTTAAAAGTGCAACTTGGCCAGTTCAGCATGTATGTGCCCAGTGCGCCTCTAAGTGGTCCTGTGCTGGCCCTGATTCTCAACATCCTGAAAGGTAAGGACTCCTCTGCCTCTTTAATATTTAGAGGGTTTCATTGGGACATTCACTTTTCATGAGGATTGCAAAATTGCCCCAGAACTGGAATGTCAACTCAGCTTCAACAGAGTAAGGGGGGGGGAACAGGATGGGACTGTGAGCTATGAAAAATGCTACAGCGGGATCACCCCAAGCAGCGGCACCCCGTTGAGTTGGTTTTAGCCCAGAGGTCCCTCCATTCCACCCCAATGGGCTAAAGGGGCCCTCTTCTGATCCAGGGAAGGCAGTTTTCTTTGGCTGAACTGTTTTGCACAGTTATTAGGGTGTCCCTCAATTGGATGGCCTGCCAGATACTTTAAAGTTGCCTCTCTGTCCACCTTCTCTCCCTGGTGGGTGCCTGTTAGTCAGCTTGTGCTGTTTCCTCTTTCATCTGGGCAGCCAAAGTGCCATCCACAGGGAGCCAAGAAGGGCTTCAGTCTCTCAGAAGTTCTGCTAAGGTGGCTTGACTCTCCCAGCCCCTCCTGGGCAGGTGGGTGGGGGGCTAAGGACAAGGATCCCGAGGTCTGAAATGCAGGACAGTTTAGGGAGGAGGGTTAGGTAGGGGACTGTGCTGTTGGGCTTTTTTTGGCTGCCTTCAGAAATGTCCTCCCCCTCCCCCGTGGTGGGAACTTTTTGCGTCATGAGAAGTGGGGAGACAGTGGATACGTCATTCCACAGGCTTCCCCCTTGTCACATTCCGCTTATCCCCTACAGCCACCAACCTCCATATTCAGATAAGGTGTTCCATAATTCACATATATTGTGTATGTTTTCTAAATCAGAGAAGGTATAGTAGACATTCATGCCTTCCTTGGTCAATGTAGGGCAGGAAGAATCTATTCTGCTTGGTCAACACAAAGCAGCACTGCATTTCCCAATGTTATTCATTTCTACCTGTGCCTTTTCAGGTCAGAGACCTCACCTTTGCATTCACTGTTGCTGCTGCTCACTTCCTGTCCAAGCTGAATGAAGACAGCTCCCAGCTGTGGCTCCAATTTGGTATTACAGCAGGAATTGTGAGTCCAGGAAAAACCCAAGTCACTAATATGGTCTTTCCAGCATTTCCCTAGGTTTCCCCAATGACTACAGCAACACTCCTCTTCAACCTCCCCCCTCCACACCCATCTTTCTCAGACAGGTTTGCTTCAGATAATCTTGCCACAGCTATCGTTTCCACTCATTGTCTTCATTCAAATTTGAACTACCAGCAGCAGCGCTTAGTTCAATCTAACCTCCGGCCTTGTGCCTGATGGTCCCTGACGTGCCTGATGTTTGTGCTCGATTCTCATGGCAGGCTTCCAGTTCTCTAAGAACAGCACTCTGACTCCAGAAGAGAAGGGCTTGACGTACCACCGCATCTTGGAGGCTTTTCGCTTTGCCTACGCCAAGAGGAGTTTACTTGGAGACCCTGCATATGTCAATCTCACAGAGGTAACTCCGTGCCCTGCTCTGCTCCTTTGTCTCTTTCCTACACCCCTTCCCCATTGCTCCTTCCTGAACAGAGCCAAATGACTCAGCTGCATTTTGCTGGGGGTGGGGGGGTGGGGTTCTGACCTGAGAGACAAGCTGGCCATCGCATTAGTTGCTCAGGAAAAACACAAGGAAGATCATTGGCCTGTGAATTATCGCTTGTCTTTTCCTATAGGATAACTCTTCCATTCTTCTGTTTAGGTGATGAGAAACATGACATCAGAGTCCTTTGCCAACAGTTTGCGGGGCAAAATCACCAACACTACCCATAACATCAACTATTATGAACCAGATTACTACACTCCGGAGCATGCTGGGACATCCCATGTCTCAGTCGTAGCTGAGGATGGCAGCGCGGTCTCGGCCACCAGTACCATCAATCACTAGTGAGATTCCAGAATGGAGCGGCTGCTGGAAAAGGGCGCAGTCAGGCCCAGAGGCTGCCCTTCCTAGGTGCAGGCTGAGGTGCTCTGAGAGGACCCTTCCCCCAGAAGCCCCAGGCACCCAAAGCTGAGAAGGGGCTCATGGAGGCTGGAGAGAAGCCAAGGGAACCGGCCCCATAGCGCCTGGACGCTTGCCCACCCAAGTTTTGATCTGAGCCTTGATCTTTGTGGATGGCATTTGGGTTTGTGGGTCTGTATGTGTGTGTGTGTGTGCGTGCATGCATGCACACACATGAGCACAAGCCGGAGAGTTGTTGTTTTGTTTTGTTAGTGAGAGCTAGTTGTGTCTGTTTTTTCCCAAGAGCCCCCAACCAGAGCTGCTTGACACTCCCTTATCGACTAAGCAGCTATCACTCCCAACTCTGCACAGCCCCACTTCCATTGTGCCATCTGCCATTGCTCCCCCCAATCTCTTCCCTGACCCTCCTCCTGAATTGGCTGCGGTGCACAACATGCTTCTTCCCCAGATATGTCCTGGCACCACCCCAGCCCCTCTTCTGCCTTCCTTCTCCCTCTAGACAAGCCCTGAAATAGGCAAATACCTGTATTTCCTGGCCTTTGCCTGCTGATCAGTCTGGCTTCAGCACTAGCCTTGCATTGCTAAGTCTGTGCAGAGAAGCCCCCGGCAGCACCTTCTGGGAAGAGGGCTGGTGATGCCCGGGCTCTGTGCAGGGGCAACAGGACCCTGCAGCCTTGGAGCTTTGGCATTTCAACGAACGGCTATCAGGAAAGCTGGGTGCAAAGTGAAGCTGCTGGGTTCACATATGGATCCTCTTTCTCTTGCCTGCCTCTGTAGCTTCGGCTCCGACCTCCGTTCCCCTGTGAATGGCATCATCTTCAACAATGAGATGGATGACTTCAGCTCCCCCCACAGAGTGAATGGCTTTGGGGTCCCCCCTTCAGTGGCCAACTTCATTGCCCCAGGTAAGGCTTTGCTTGCGCACTTCTCCGCCTGCTGCTTGAGCATATCATCCGGCCCCCTCCAGGCCCCTCTCTGGGGAGGGTCTCCTCCAAGCAGCCTCTGTCTCCCCCCTCCCCAGCCCCCCCCTCAGTTCCTTGAGCACCGGGTGCCTCTGCAGTCATGGAGGGAGAGGCAATCCATGGAAAGGCGCTCGCTGCTTCCAGGGAGTGGGCTAGGCTGCCACTTCTCTTCTCCTGGGGGTCAGGAATATCTGCAGTGGGTGGTCAAAAAAGTCAAGATGGCAGCCACATTCTTTTGTGTGAAGCTTTGCTCAGATTGCCTTTTTTGACCATCTACTGCAGATACCCTTCTCTGTGGTCTGTTCCTCAAGGCGTCTTCTTAGCCTATCTCGTTTTTTAAATAAATTTTATTTAACACATAAAAATTAATACAAACTAATAAAGAGCAGTGGATGAAAAAAGGAAGGAAGGAAAGAAGGATCAAAAAGATACAGAAATTTTCAATTTCCTTTGCAGCAATTATACATATAATTAAAAAAAACTCTTACCCTATGATTACAAAAAATCATAATTCTAATTTTTAAAACCACAAATCCTGTGCCTTTTTTCTGTTTCACACGAAAAGTCTATGGGGGGACGGGGGCTTTCAGGTCAACCATAGGTATAGGTGTTGCCTTCTCTGTAGCCAGGCAAGCCAGCTGAGCTGGGTTCTCTGCAGTTTCCATCCCCTCCATCAACCTTCCTCTGCTGTGCATAAAATCGAGACTTTCTAATTTGGAGCATGGAATAATCTTGCTGCAGTTGCATATAAAAATAGAATTCCACAACTGTCCATTAGTCCCAAAAGAAAAGTATCTGGCTTCAATTGCACTTATTTTAGTACATCTTGATAGATGATCCATTTAAGTTTACTTATAATATCTGGTCTATAAAATGCTTCTTGTGCTGAAAGCCACAAAAGCATTTTGGGGCAAAACCTGAGTTTATATTTATTCCATACAATAGATCATCTATTAAAATACAATAGAGCCACTGAACTCTGGGATAGAAAAATCTTTTTAATAATACAACTTAGCTTTCAAAAATCCTCTGTTGACATTGTCAGAGTGGTAATCGGTGGTTAGAGAAACTTGCTTATATAGCTAGATGGCTGTTTAGCGAGAGCTAAACCGAGAGCAACCATACATTCAATTTTGCGGGGGCTGAGGTCATTTCCCAGGACTTCACAAAAGGTAGCCGCCTATTGAAAGAGGCTTGGCTATCAGATGAACATTCAATCAACTGGCATGTAAAGCTGCTGCTGGCCTATCAAATGTTGAGAAGGCACAAACAGCAATGTAGGGCGGCAAAGCGAGCGAACTGCTTACCACCTCCGTATCGCAGGAATAGAAATTCTGAAAATTCAGGACGTTTACTCATGGAAAGGCAGGAGGGCACAGTGAGTAGAGAAAGGGGGACACACCCCTCTGCAGGACTGAAAGAAGAACTTTGGACCAGCATGATCGAGACAGGACATGCGACGGGAGGATTGCTACTGGACGTGACCACACGGCAATCTGACGCCGGATGAGACACCAGGGGGGAAGATCCAGCAACAACGCTGAGCAGCCACGCACGGCAGGAGGAGTGCAGCTGGTGGGTGGGACAGGCGGGGGGAGGGAAAATGTCAAAATTGAAACGAACACCGGCTAATACGGCACAATTAGGAATAGGACGGCCTACTGTGGGAGGGCGGAGGGTAGGTGGACCACTCGCACACTCCATGGCTAGATCGCTAAACATCCATCTAGCTATATAAGCAGGTTTCTCTAACCACCGATTACCACTCTGATGATATCAACAGAGGATTGATTAAAGCTAAATTGTAATTATTGAAAAGATTTTTCTATCCAGTGGCTCTATTTTTTTTAATGAATATACCACCACCCAGCACAGATCAACTCTGTAGCCAAGACACTCATCTCCAGAACAAAACGCTTAGCTGACGAACAACACCTAAAAACCGAACTACACACTCTCACTAATGTATTAACATCCAATGGATTCCAAAGAAATAAGATTACCGACCTAATCCAAAAAGAAACCCCCCACTAAAATCCAAGACAGAGAACAAGAAAACGGCAAAGCCCTCCTCCCATACATAAAAGGCACCACAGACAGAATCAGCAAGATTCTCCACAAACACAACATCAAGACAGCATTCTGCACAAACAGAAAAATATCCACCATCCTAAGAAACCCCAAAGACAAAATCGAGTTAGAAAATCAAGGAGTATATGAAATCCCATGCACCGCTTGCCCCACCACATACATCAGACAAACCAGCAGAAGAATACGTGCACGCATTGAAGAACACAAGAACTCAGTCAAAAAAGAGGAACCAACTTCTTCCAACACCTTAAAGCCACAGGACATGAAATTAACTTTTAAAAGACCAGAACTATCGCCAAAACTGAACACTTTAATAACAGAATAATCAGAGAAGCCATTGAGATAGAAAAACGTCCACACAGCATGAATAAACGAGATGATACCTCCCATCTACCAGCCATTTGGAAACCTGCCCTTATTGATAAACGAGTCCCTAACACAAAGAATGACACCAGACCCACACTCACAAAAACCACACAAGATGTCACCACCACACATCCACGCAAAAAGCAAACTCAAACCCACACCGATGATGAGGCACGACCACAAACCAGAAGCCAGACCACGGCTGCATCATTAGCCACTTTAAACCCCTCCAATCCATACATGAAGCAAACTGACACCCACCATGAAGTTGAGGCATGACCACGAACGCGAAGCCAAACAACAGCAGCGCAGCTCACCATCTCATATCCCCCCTGCAACTCAGACTAACCTGAGCACAACAAAGTCCCCACCCAAACAGAACACTCCCCCATCCAATCAGAGCACAGCCAACCCCCCCATCCAATCAGAGCACAGCCAAGCCCCTAACCAATCAGAACACACCTCCACCCAATCAGAACACAGCCAAGCTCCCATCCAATCAGTTCATACCCCCACTGGCAGTTAAAAGGAAGAAACAGCTACAATCACACATTGTTCCTAGAAGCACGAAGCTGAAAGCACCAGCCTGAAGATGACGAATGAGACTTCATCAAAACGTCGCCAAGACACTTCCAATTTTACGCGGGAGAAAACCCAAATAACCAAAGACCTACATACAAACACCTGTGAACACCTCAGATCCCTTGGCTTCTGTGCTTCTGCACAAAACCCACTATATATTTTTTTATTAACATCTTTGTGTTCTGTTGATTAATCTTCCAAATTCTATTAATTTACTCATTCAAAGTTCAGTTCCCTTTGAAGAATGTGCCAAAATCAAAATCAAGTCATCTGCAACAGCTCTTAACTTGTATGACTCTTTCTTCATCTTTTCACCGGTGACCCTCTAATCTTGTCTCACATCTCTATTTAATATTTCAAGGATTAAAAGAGGCATTTCAAGGACTAAACTCACATGGTTTAGCTAAATCTTCATTAACGATGATTTGTGCTGTCTGCAAAATATATATTCTCTCCAAAATTCATATCTTCCAAAACCTTCAACAAACAAAGTTCAGTTCAAATGATCAAAAGCCTTCTCGGCATCTAAAAAGAGCAACGCGGCTTGTTTTTTATTATGTTGTTCAAATATACCCAAAATGTCCAATGCAGTTCTAATATTATCTTTCAACCATCTTGTAATAGAAACTCACATTTACCCCCAGGAATAAATTCTTGCAAAATTATTTTCAACCTTTCAGCTAAAATCATTGTGAACAACTTATAATCATTCTTTTATTATTTATTTATTTATTAAATTTATAGGCCACCCATCTTGCCTCAAGATAACTCAAGGCAATTCATTAAAGATTTTGGTCTGTAATTTCTGACTGAAGTCAATTTCTGTCCTTATTTAGCTATTAATGTTATCCTGGCCTCTTCCCAAGTCCCTGCCCACAGAGATCCTTGGGCCCCGCAAAGGTTATCCGAGTTCCTCCTAGGGAGGAATGTAGCCCGGCTTCCCGGCTGGGAGGGGCCGCATCCCAGGCCAAGTGCAGGGAGGTTGAGAGGGAGGAAGAGAACCGGAGGGAGCAGCTCCTCACGGGAGTTTCCCGAGGAACTCTTGGATGGTGCAAGGAGGCAGCTGGAGTTGGGCAAAATTTATTTATTTATTCATAATATTTATAGGCTGCCCCTCTTGTCTAGAGGTGAGGAACGATAAAGGAACGATAAAGAAGAGCCACAATGGGTGTTTCTTGGTTTCTGGAGCCTGGCAATAATAGAGACTCCGGGTCCAGGCATCTTTCCTGGTTTGCTCTTTGTAGTTGCTTCTGAGACTTCCCTGGTCGTTATAGGTCCATACAGAAACTGTCTTTGTTCACCTGTATCCCTTTTGCTTTCAAAGATATTCATCTACTTTCTCCAAGAGGATAACATGTCTTTTATCCAGATTAGAATAATATGGTAGAAAAAGATGTATGGAGACATCGTTCTTAGACGTGTCTCATGTGAGCTCCAGACATTTTCTTTCAGGCCCTCATGGCTGATACCACTCATTCTGAGCTTTTTTTTTTCTTTATTCCCCCCCCCCCCAATTAATTCCCTTCCAAATACTTTTCTCTTCCCAGTGTTCTGGCAATGGTGCTTTTCACAGATCATGCAAATGCTAATAATAATAATAATAATAATAATAATAATAATAATAATAATAATAATAATGATGATGATGATGATGATGATGATGATGATATTGGAGGAAGTACCATAAAGGCAATCAACACCTGGGCAATCCCAGTCATTAGGTACACAGCTGGAATAGTGGACTGGATTCAAGCAGAACTAAAAGCAATGGATAGGAAGACCAGAAAAATAATGACATAATGAATCATGCCCTTCATCCACGCAGTGACATTGACAGACTCTATCTACCAAGGCAAATAGGTGGGCGTGGAATGCTACAAGTACATCAGATGGTTGAAGAAGAAAAATGGCTTTGGAAGAATATCTGAAGAACAATGATGAAGATGCACTGAAATTAGTATATCAGGAAGGCTTACTAACTACTGGAGAGACCAAACTGGCCTACAAGAAAGACCAAATGAAGAACAGAATAGAGGCATGGGAAGACAAAGCACTAAATGGCCAATACATGAAAAAAATAGCTGGGAAAGCAGATAATAATAAAACCTGGCAATGGCTAAGAGCAGGAACATTGAAGAAAGAGACCGAGGGACTAATTCTGGCTGCACAAGACCAAGCCTTAAGGACAAATGCATACAAAGTCAAAATTGAGAAGACAGCAACAGCCAGTAAGTGCCGCCTATGCAAAGAAGCTGAAGAAACAGTGGACCACTTGGTAAGCTGTTGCAAGAAGATTCCACAGACTGACTACAAGCAGCGGCATGACAAAGTAGCAACAATGGTGCATTGGAAGATCTGCAAAAAATATCATTTGCCTGTAAGCAAAAACTGGTGGGATCATAAAATAGAGAAAGTCATAGAAAATGATAAAATTAAACTGCTCTGGGACTTCAGAATTCAAACAGACAAGCACTTGCAACATAACACCCCAGACTTAACAATTGTCGATAAGAAAGACAAAAAAGCCTGGATAGTGGACGTGGCAGTGCCTGGAGATAGCAGAATAGAAGAGAAAGAACTGGAGAAGATAACAAAATACAAAGACCTACAAATAGAAATAGAAAGACTGTGGCAAAAGCAAGCAAGGGTAGTACCAAGAGTCATAGGCTCCTTGGGTGCAATCCCAAAACAACTGGAGCACCACTTGAACACCATTGGCATTGACAAATTCGCTATTAGTCAATTGCAAAAGGCGGCCTTACTAGGAACTGCTTCCATCCTGCGACGATATCTGCAATACCATCAAACATCCACATCTGCCTATCCCAGGTAAGGACTCAATAGGTAGACAAAATGCCAAATCCAGTCTGAACATCTGGCTGACTGTGCGATGATCCATAATAATAATCATAATCAAAATAATCATAATCATAATCATAATAAAGTTGGAAGGGACCTTGGAGGTCATCTAGTCCAACCCCCTGCTCAGGCCATTTCAGACAAATGGTTGTCCAGTCTTTTTTTTTTTTTTTTAAACTTCCAGTGTTGGAGCATTCACAACTTCTGGAGGTAGGTTGTTCCAATGATTAATTGTTCTAACTGTCAAGAAATTTATCCTTAGTTTTAGGTTGCTTCTCTCTTTGGTTAATTTGAGGTATTGGAAGGCTGCTATCATGTCCCCCCTTGTCCTTCTCTTCATTAAATTAGACATGTCCAATTTCAGTAACCGTTTATAATAATAATAAAGTTGGAAGGGACCTTGGAGGTCATCGAGTCCAACCCTCTGCTCAGGCAGGAACCCTACACCATTTCAGACAAATGGCTGTCCAGTCTCTTCTTAAAAACTTCCAGTGTTGGAGCATTCACCACTTCTGGAGGCAGGTTGTTCCATTGGTTAATTGTTCTGTCAGGAAGTTTCTCCTTAGTTCTAGGTTGCTTCTCTCCTTGATCAGTTTCCATTCGTTGCTTTTTGTCCTGCCTTCAGGTGCTTTGGAAAATAGCTTGACTCCCTCTTCTTTGTGGCAGCCCCTGAGATATTGGAACACTGCTATCATATCCCCCCTCGTTCTTCTCTTCATTAAACTAGACATACCCAATTCCAGCAACCGTTCCTTATATGTTTTAGCCTCCAGTCCTTTGATCATCTTTGTTGCTCTTCTCTGTACTCTTTCTAGAGTCTCAACATCTTTTTTACATCGTGGTTACCAAAACTGGATGCAATATTCCAAGTGTGACCTTACCAAGCGTTGTAAAGTGGTATTAACACTTCACGCGATCTTGATTCTGTCCCTCTGTTAATACAGCCTAGCACTGTGTTGGCTTTTTGGCAGTTGCAAAAAAGTGCTGGCTCATATTTAAATGATTGTCCACTAGGATTCCAAGATCCCTCTCACCGTTGCTACTATTGCCATAAAGAAGTGGGAATCAAGCTATTTTCCAAAGCACCTGAAGTCAGGACAAGAAGCAACGGGTGGAAACTAATCAAGGAGAGAAACAACCTAGAACTAAGGAGAAACTTCCTGACAGTGAGAACAATTAATCAGTGGAATAGCCTGCCTCCAGAAGCAGTAAATGCTCCAACACTGGAAGTTTTTAAGAAGAGACTGGATAGCCATTTGTCCGAAATGGTGTAGAGTTTCCTGCCTGAGCAGGGGGTTGGACTAGATGATCTCCAAGGTCCCTTCCAACTTTACTACTACTACTATTATTATTACTATACTGTACATTTGGTTTTCTTGCCTAAATGTAAAACCTTACTTCTCTTGGCTTCACTTGGTCTTGGTCTTTCAGAAGGTTTGTCTGAGCCCCACTTGAAGCACAGACTCCCAAGGGGGGGGGAGGCCATCCTTGATCTCCAGTTCCAGTTGGTGACCCTCCAGCTGCTCCATCGGAACCCCCTGGACACACAGACTGACCCCTTTCCCTGCTTCCTTTGTCGCTCTAGCATGGGAATCATGTCTTCTCCGTTTTGGGCACTGGAGATTCTCGCTGATCTGGGGGCAGCAACTGCTTCCCTGTGTTGATTGTGATGCCCTCTAGAGCAGGGCTTTTCAACCTTTTCACCGATTGTACCACTTTTAGAGTATGGCAATATTCAAGTACTACCAGTTGCCTTGTACTTGTCATCAGGTGTCAAAAACCTGATGACCAACAAAAAATGGAAAAAAGTGATAAAGTACAGGTAGTCCTCACCCCCCCTTTTATATTCTCTCTGCTCTCCCCCCTTTTATATCCTCTCTTCTCTCCCTCTCAGCAGGACCTAGGCAACACCTCACGCAGTTCCAGCTGAATCTCTGTCTAAAGACTGCGTGAGGTTGCCTGTCACTCCCAGTCAGTTGGAGCTGTGTGCGCTGATCCTGGGCTCTCTGTAGGACCCAGGCAAGCAACGCCTTGGGCAGTTCCAGCTGAATCGCCACCCGAAGACTGTGTGAGGCTGCCTGCAGCACCCAAGGCCACTGCCAATCAGCTGGAGCTGCACGCTTTGATCCTGGGCTTTCAGTAGGACCCAGGCAACGCCTTGTGCAGTTCCAGATGACTTTCCCACAAGCCTGTGCAACGCTGCTGCCGCTTCACCTCATCCACTTTTACATTTGTTTTTTTTTTTTTTACACTTTTTTTTACAATGTTGTTCAACCTGTCGTACGCGCAGGGCTTTTTTTCTCATAGAACGTCCAGAACAGAGTTCCGGCACCCTTTTTGGATGGAACCTTGTAGGGTAGGCAAGGCAGGTTGTGTGATGTGTGTAAGCTCTGGCACCTTTTTTTTCTTCAAAAAAAGCACTGTGTACGCGTACCACCTGCCAGGTGCCAATGTACCACTAGTGGTACACGTACCGCTGGTTGAAAAGCCCTGCTCTAGAGTACTGATTCCCTCTAAGTTGTGTTGTTTACAAAACAGGGAAATTCAGCTTGTATCTGAGGCTAACCGTGAGAGATAACAGCACTGTGAAATTGCCTAGAAAGCAGCTTGCCAAGGGGAAGATTGTGGGAAAGAGTCCCCCATTTCTCCTAGGACTTAGTGCTCAGGATATTTTCCCCTTGAGCCTGTATGATCAGCTCTTACCCAATCACCCAACCCCTGCCTCAGAATCTGAGGTGACAATAGGCATAGAAGGGTGAGCCCCATCTATTTAATTCAGCCTTGGTCCCGCCACCCAAACAAACACGGTGGAGCCCTGCTTGGGGGGGCCTTGCACCTGGGAAGCTCCATGAAATGTCTGAGAGAAGACCCCTGGCAGGTCTGTAAAAACGCAGCAAGGACTCTGGCCAGGATGATGAAAGACACAGCCATTCTTGCACAGGGAGAAGTTACCTTTGTAAGATGCTGGCTGGCCAACCCCTCCCATGTACTCTCACCTGTACAGGAGCAAAGGAAGGGCTGATGGGAACCAGCACATAGTTCACAGGATATTTACTACTACAACTATACTGGCTAGTGGTTTAAGTGGCATGTTCGAGGATCGTGTCCAGCAATGCATCTCCCCTGGCTCCATCCCCAACAGGTAAACAACCTTTCTCATCCATGTGTCCGACTATCCTGGTGGATGAGAAGAACAAAGTCAGGATGGTGGTCGGTGCTTCTGGAGGGACAAAAATCACAACAGCAACAGCCCTGGTGGGTCACGCTGGGTAGGCTGAGGGATGCTTCTGGAGACCACCTCGTCTTGCTCTGTCAAGAAGCCCCGGACCCCGTGGGTTCTCTGTGGGGTGGGGACAGGCAGCACTCATGGTGGGCATCTCTTTTCTGCTCTGGGGATACCAGTGTGCCTACCAGGACCAGAGAGGTTGCTAGGTCCACTATGGAGGGCCCCTAAGGAGGGCCTGACCACAGGAGGGAAGTCTGAGCTAAGACCGAGATCTGCAAACAGGGCTGAATCGGTCCAGTGAAGGGGATGTGCATGCGATGCTTGACAGAAAAAGAGAGAAGTGACTTCCAAAGTCTCAGCAGGTTTTCCTTTCGGGTCCTTGAACAAACTATTTTTGAAGCTCTCTAGATTTTGTCTTCCTGGGAAAAAAGGAGATTTAACCCACATAGTTATATCAATTTTGTACTCTTTGCCATAGAATGGGTTTAGCTACAGCTGTGGATTGGGGGAGTTGGAAGGAAGATGGAAAGAAATGGTTGATGGATGTCTCTTATCTAAAGTTACATTTGGATTTGTAAGCCCCTCAAAATTTACAGTTTGAACAGTAATATTGGAATCACAGAAAAAGTGAAAGAAAGTTTCAAATAGCTCCATATTGAAATTCCTAGGTGGCATTGAGCTTTCCATTATTATCTATTTCACATAATTTGGGGGAAGATGAGGGAGGGGTGGCTTCAGCACCACACTCAGCCCCTTAGGGAAAACAGTCGTTGGCAAGAGCGATTGTCAAGCACGTCTGAAAGCTCCTTGGCAAGGCAGACATTTTACTGAGCAGCTAAAGTCTCTCTGTGGTCTCTCACAATTCATCCTGGCTTCATGGATCCCTGGAAAGAACATTACCTTCAGTCCTGTCAGGAGATGCTTGGAGACCTAATCCTGTACCTCTTCTTTCGTGCAGACAATCATCAACGCCTTGTGGTTTGGCTATGATGCTAAGACTGCTGTGGAGGAGCCGCGAGTTCATAACCAGTTGTTCCCCTCAGCTACGCTTCTGGAGAAGGATGTGAAAAAGGTCTGTTTAATAATGGAAGGATCAGGGAAACCTGAAGAGGGTTAACAGCTGAAGGGTTCTCTTTCAGGATTGGCTTTCCCACCTCTGTCACAGTGTTGTGCAGTTAGGCTGCCTGGGAATGAGAGGGCTACAATTCTAAAACACATGCAGAGTCCCGGGTTGGGTGAAGTTGCTCCCTTTAGCTCAAGGGGCTTTCCAAATAGTAGCATTGTCCAATCCAGCTGACAGGTAACTTGTGACAGAACATCCCTGAGACCACAGCTGGGAGCAGCTGTCTCTTGACTGAGTGCAGTCATCTCTGGCCCGCAAGGCAAGATAAGAAATGCTTTGGGATCTGTTGAAGATGACAGCGTGTCACCCGTTTTTTCCTTCCTAGGAAATAGAAGAAGACCTGGTGAGAAGGAAACACGAGGTCAAGAGGACCAATGAAGGTGCTGTGGTGCAGGCCATTCTCTGGACTGAAAATGGTTGGGCTGCAGCCTCCGATTCCCGGAAAGGGGGCTTCCCAGCAGGATACTGAGCTGGCCAGCTACACGTAGCTCAGAAGGCCTGAGACTGACAGGCTCACCACGTTCTACAGATCTCTGGAGCAAGTGATTCTGCATCTCACCAATGTGGACCGTGGGATAGATTTATAATGAACATAGGATGATGAGATGACCATGGGACACTGCTTCATTGACAAATACTACATATATATGTAGAGATATAGAAAAAAAAATCCAGCTGTTGGCCTCCGCTTGGCCTTGGCATTTTTTAAGGATCCACAGAATCCGGCCATTGGTTCCTTGGTGGATCCCCTGCTGGATGCAGGAATTGCTAGCAAGGCCTCCTGGAGAAAGCCAGACAACCCAAAGTGGCTTTAGTGGCTTTGTGTCTCTGGCAGCAGAAAAGGCATCCCAGCTGCTCCCACTGGTCCCTTTCCCAGACAGGTCAGCAGATGGCGCTCTACACTGGCGAACCTAGAGCAGAAGGAGATTGCCCTCCCTCCGAGTGGATGGGGTGAGAGGCGGGTGGCCTCCACATGGGCTGTCAGCCAACCCAGGTGTGTTTCGTCCAGGTGCAAGGAAACCTGATAATTGGGCTGCTTTTTGACCCAGGTTCAGAAGACAGACAGAGGACTGTGGGAAGACTTGGGCCTTGGGCGACAGAGAGCTCTCTCGCCCCTTTGGCAGCCATGCCCCCTTCTGCTGCCCCAGCTACCCTTTGGGCTGATTCACCTAACCTCCCTCCCCCAAAGCAGAGTGGGCTGGAAGGCAGCTCCCACAGATCAGAGCCCCCCCCCCCGCGCGCTCTAGAGGAGCCAATGGGGAACCAGGCCATTCCCAGCACAAGGCATCACCCACCCACAGCAAGAAGGCAACGGGTTAGTGGGGTGCCAACCAAAATGGGGCCAGGGTCAAAAAGAAATGACTTCAAAATAGCTTATAAAAAGGCTGTTTATAATATTCTCATCCTTTCTCAAGTGTTATGCCCGGATATCACAACTGAATGATTACGTATTGAAAAAAAACATACTATTCATTCAGCCTAAAACTGCATGTCCTCTTTTTGCGGCCCAGTCAGGCTTCTAAAGATTCTAGTCAAGCTTCAATATCTTTTTGGCAAGTCTGTGGCCAACTAGGTATTTCCCCGTCCCACACTGGGCATCTGATGGATCATTTTCTAAGTAAGGACTTTGTGGCTGCTACATTTCATCTATTTCTCTGTATCATTGTAATCTTTTTCTTTCAAAAGGTTTTTGTGTGTCAGATAACCCTCCCCACCACTGGTTCACCATTAATCAGATAAGCTGGGAGGACCAGTTTGGACGTGTGACCTGTCACTTAACGATGCCTCTCTCCAGATCAGTGAGACTCTGTGCCAGGCTTGCCCCAGCTAGAAAGACCCTCGACTCCATTGGGTTGAAGGAATGATGTGTTCTTTTACTAAGGATGGCAGAGCTGGCACTCTGGCTTATTTTTCATATGGTGTAGCTCATATTTAATTATCCTTCTCTTCCTTAAAAATGAGGTGAGGTTAATTCAGAGATTTTCTTTAGAAGAAAGCTTGCTAAAGATAATCCAAATCCACGGAATTTGGTTGGGGCAAGAAGACAAGGGATGTTTCTTCGGTTACCTGAAAGAGACCAAAAATTATGTGGCTGTGCAGGAGACGGATAATCAGTTTCTTTTGATTACACTTACAGGGTTTTTCATGCTCTCCAATTTATCCTCTGGCACCAGGAAGGCCTCCAGGGTGGGAGGGCAAAGCTTGGGGCATTCAGCCCCTCCCCCCCCAGCCTGACCTCGGTCCTAGAAACTGGGCTTTCTGGAAAGTGAGCACCCACTCTGGATCGAGGAAACGATTTTAAAAAGCGAGCACAATCCAGGCACTTCCCAGCACAAAAGTGGGTGGAAGTGCATGTAGAACCAAGACAATGAGCAGGCTGGCCCACTGGAGCCCCCGAGGGGAAGCTGCCCATTGCCCCCCTCCGTCCTTGATGTCCCACTGAGGACAAGCCGCAGATTGCCTGCCCAAAGGGGCTGAAGGGAAAGCTGCCCATGTTGCAGCGCTGACCCCAAGGAGGGTGGCTGGAATGGGCTTGTCAAGAGGTGCGCGCCATGGCCATGGCCAAACAAAGGGAAAAAACGAAATCCTTGAAAATCCTCCAGAAACAATTCTCAGCCTAAAATAAAATGTTTCTGAATTGGGAAGCTTTGAAAAGAGTTGAAAAGAAACAGACCCGGAAATAATTTGTGAAAATATACTTTAAACTTTCTATAGAGCAAATGTGTGCATGAAGAAATAAAAAAAAGCTCATAATCCAGAATGACTCTCCCATTAGCTCCCCCACTGCTTGCCTCCCGCTTGTTACCAACACAGGAAGTCAGCAGAATTGCAGCTTTGATGAAGGCTCAGCAGGGGGGAGTACAACAGTCCTGTAAGGACCCACCCCACTTTGCATCTTAAGAAGACAGAACTCTTGGAATAGTTCTTCCAACAGGAATCCTTTATTAAGAGAAAATGGTTGCAGGCATGCTAGACAGGACTTGGGGTCCAAGCTCTCCCATTCAAGGTTTTAAGGGGTTCCCCAGTAGTCCCACCCAATCAACCCCCCTTCCAGTGATAGTTTCAAGTATCACAATTCCACCCCGTTTCTTCTTTCTTCCGTCTGGATGGAGACTTCAGATAACTACATGAAAGGCAAATACTCTTCTTTGTTAATGCTAATGTTCTCTGGTGCTAACACTTTGAGGTTACAATAGGTTACAATAAACACACATTCAGCATTCAGCTCTTTGAAGTCTCCTGAAGGAAGTGAGGGCCATAAAGCCCCTTTGTTCTCCCCCTTCTCTCCCTCTTATGGCAGAATCCAAAGAAGGCAGAATTGGGAGTTTCTATATTTGATAATTAAAGATGAAATATGATTGGATTCTGACAAGTCCGTAACTTTCACTTTCAGCAATAAGAACAGGAAAAGTTCCTGCTGGTGCCTTTGGCTCTGAGGCCTCCAGGGTGGGAGGGCAAAGCTTGGGGCATTCAGCCCCTCCCCCCAGCCTGAGACCTCGGTCCACAAAAGGCCTCTGCATCAAAGGTTAATGTTGCAGGGCTTTCAGCCCTCTCCAGGGCTTTGGCAGCAGACCCTACTCAACCCCGGGGGAAGGGGGTTGCCTCAGGCCCCCTGGGCATTGGCTCATTTGCTTGCCAGGCTCCTTGCTCATTGTTTCCCTGAGCAAAAGCTTCGTCCAAAGCCTGGAGATTGGAAGAGCTTCCGCCACACAGGCTGCAGCGTTTCTGCTCTCTCCAGGTCCCGAAGGGGGGGGGGGCTTTCCGTGGGGATTCTGGGTTCCTACCAAATTCAGGCTCAGTCACGTAATTTCCCACCTATGCCAGTCTCAGTCTTTCTCACTGGGCATCCTCGGCTTCCATCAGCCACAGACACTCCGTGGTTCCAGGAGGACATTATATCTCAGGACAGAGAAGAGACTACTTCAGCCCTGCCCCCCTTTCCCTCAACCTCTAGACTCGCAGGAGACGGACGTGTGGCTCAGCTTCGACCGTCTCGTTCGTGTGTGTGTGTGTGTGTGTGTGTGTGTGTGTGTGTGTGTGTGTGTGTGGATATAAGGTCCAGTTGCAGGGCAACTTTCAGCAGGAGTTAGGTCGGACAGAGGAGAAATGTAGAACACAGTTTGGGCTGTGTGTGTGTTTGTGTGAGTGAGTGTGTGTGGTTTGCACAGGAATGCATCCAAAGGCTGATGGCAAAACCGGCAGAGAAGGAGAACAGTTGCTTCAGAGTTTAGCCACGCTTCTCCCTGCTTCTAGTAGCCGGAGGCTTCTCCTCGCTTCCTCCAGTCAGAATAAGGGAAGATGCAGGCGCCCTCCTGGGAGATGCCCTGCACCACATTCAGGGCATGTGTTGCAGTGTGGACTGAGTGCCCCAGGGTGATCAAAGCGGTCGTGAGGTTCTGCAGAGAAAGAAAAAAAGCAACGGTAAGCCCCACATGCCCCCTTCAAAGACCTCCTGCACAGCTCTTTGGGCCACCATGTTAGGAAGGGGGGCCTGGGCAATGAGACGAGGCAGCCCGGAAGACCCTTCGGGAGAAGGCTGGACTGGCCAGACCTGGGCAGATGCAGAACAGGCTGTTCTAATTCAGGGTACACGAGCCTCATTCTCTCCACTGACTCACAGGGCAGGACCAGAGTGAGTGGATTACCACTAGCAGGTAGCAGCAGGCTCAGGCTAGGCATAGGAGGAACTTCCTGACACTGCAAGTCGTAAGCCAGTGGAACAGGCTGCCCCAAGAAGTGGTGAGTTCTGCTTTGTTGGGGGTCTTCAGAGACTGGATGGCTGTGAAACCCACTGAGTTGAATCCCAGAATCAGGACTTGGACAATCTAACGTCTGATTCTGGGAAGATCAGCCGGGTAGGGAATTCCAGCACAGGAAGACGCTGCAGAGCTGCCCAAAATACCTCAAAATAAGTTTCTGAAGTTATTGGGGACTTTTCTATCCAAGTAACAGACAAGGGAGCTATTCTGGACACCTCTTTCTCCAAGTCTCCAGCTGGACCCCTCTTCTCTCTGTGTCCCAGTTGTCTCCCCACTTTCACCCTCCACCCTTCCTAAAGCAAATGACTGACCTTCCATTTTCTTGTTCACCTAAGAGAAGACAGAGGGAATGCCCTGCTGAGGGATGGGGGCAGGCAGAAGGGATGGAGCCTTCCTCTTGCCTGTTCTATTTCTTTTCCTTTATTGGAAAGCTGGCAAAGTAGCTGAGCTCCATGAGCATCTCCCCTCCCCCTCAACAAATGCCTCCCACAATGAGACAGGGGAAGGAATCCCAGACGGGCTTCATGGAATAAGAACCTGACCAAGGCTGGGAAGTAATGGAGGTGGTTCTCCTCAAGGAGGACTCTTTCACCCAGCCTTGCTGCTGTGAGCATTTGTGCAGGACACGAGATCCCCACCACCAATTTAGGGGGGGGGGTGGAGGGAGAGAGAGAGAGAAAAGCCAAGAATCAGGTCCGCATCTCACCTGTGGAAACTGCTTCTCCACTAGAACGGAGCCACCACCAGTGGCATAGAGGATGGGCGCTCTGATGGCTTGATCCAGATCATACCCAAACCATAACTTATTGACGATGGCCTGCAACAGAGAGTCCTTTGAAAGAGACCTCTGGCCAGGAGCATCCTCACATGGAGCATTCAGTGGATGCAATTAAATTAAATTATATCAAGGTAATCTTTTGCCCCAAGCTCTCTCATTGCTTGAACTGCAATGTCTATTCAGCCACAGAAGGTCAAGTGCTTCTCGCTCCCACAGGAGTTTGCATATTCCTGTAACTGCAAGGGATTTGACTGCATGGAAACATGAGTAAAACTTGACCATGGGAAAAATAATCCCACAGGCTGCTGTGAAGGGAAACCCCTGGCTACCTCTCAGCTGAGGAGAAGAACAGCTTCTTCCAGGAAAATCACAGAACTAGAGGAAAACACTCGGGGGGTGGGGCAGCCCCGGAACAAGGCTTTGAACTGGACTCTGCAGGGTGGGGCTCATTAATGAAAGCTTCTGGGCCATCCTCAAGGGCGGCTCTTGTATAAGGCAGGGGGCTTCCATGCCTTACCTGGGCTACAGCAGGGATAATGAGGGGCCCACCTGAGCCACCTACTATTAGCTTGGACTTCCCATTTTTAGAAAGAAGAATGGATGGTGTCATGGAGGAGGGAGGCATCTCTCCTGGGGGGAGAATAGGATAAAATGTTAGCTGATAGAAGAGAATCTTTGTAGCGCAGGGTTGAACTGTGGGGTCCTTGGTGCTCTCTGGGCTTGGTTGGTGTCTTGCAGACTTTTAATTACCAAACTAGGTAACATCATCATCAAGTAATGAAATGTCTGTAATAAATCAACAAAGCTCAGAGAGCACCAAGGACCCCAAAGTATTGGCTCCCTACAGGATCCACCTTAGGAAACCCAACACCCACGCATAAGGTAGCAGCACGCTTACACACGTCCTCAGCAATTCTAGCCTCTGAGGAAGACCAGAGAGTTCAGTGTGATTCTTTGGGGGGGGGGAGCAGTGGTCTTTACCTGGAGAAATGTTTTCACTAGACCGTTTCATGCAAAAATCAGCCAGCTCATTGTTTAAGATGATCCCAGTTTGCTGCGAATAGACCATTGAGCCAAACCTAAGCAGAGAGAAAGCAGATGGGGAGGGGAGAACATGGTCGGGAATGCATTGATCAAGAGGCTGCTGTGAATCTGGCTGTGTGGCCTCAGGTAGCCCCTCTGACTGGGACTCCAGGGGGCTCAGCTGGTACCTTACCAGCCTCCTGGAACAGAGATGGGAAGGTCCTGCAAGGATCATAGGCCCCAGAGGCATTCTCTGAAAGGGATGTTCGATCCTGACCAGTTCAAGGTTGACTCAGCCTTCCATCCTTCCGAGAACGGTAAAATGGGGATCCAGATTATTGGGGACAAAATGCAAACCGCTTAGAGAGGGCTATAAAAGCACTGTGAAGCGGTATATGAGTCTTAAGTGCTATTGCTCTTTTCTCTGGCTTGCATCATGTGCCCTCAGAGAACCCCTTTCCTGCCAGCCTCAGCAATGGCCTCCCCCTCAGACTGGGTGTTCTGGGCACGTCTGCCAGGAAGGAAGGAAGGCCTCTCCTTGAGGAGGCAAAGCTTCTCTGCCGGCTGAGAAGCTCTTGGGAGGGGACTCTGGAGGGACAGGCCTTGACGAGCAACTTCCCCAACATTTTACAAGTTTTGCCTGTGGGACCTTCAGTTAACAAAGGAGGAGCAGGATTGTTCCTGGAACCGATGGCCGTGAGGAGCACAAGCCCCACTGGTGGGTCAGCTTCACACATGGAATTGTGGGTGGACTCGGCAACTGGGTGGGAGTGGCTTTCAATGGAGCGACCACAGGTGCTTCTGCAGAGACTCTAACTGGAAGGTGGCGGCAATTAGCAACAAAACTAAGGGTGAGAACTCCTGGACACAGAGGGCCAAATGGTCAAGGCTGCCCTTAGCATCGCTGGTCCACAGCTGCCCCCACTTACGGGTGGTTGATGGTGCTGGTGGCTGACACAGCACTCCCATCTTCTGCCAAAACAGCCACGTGGGAGGTGCCAAAAGGGGCCATTCTCAGCTGGGCAGGGTCATAGTGGCTGGCTGGGTGGTCGCCCCGGCCGTCGATCAACTGCCTGATGTGGTCAGCAAAGGCATCTGACATCATCTCGTGGAGAACCTCCTGAAAGGGTGGGCATTCCAGTCAGGGAAAGAGACTGCCAGGGGTGGCCCCGAGACCTCTTTCCAAAATGCTCAGAAGCCAGGACGGCTGTGAACAGAAAGTGGAGTTTCTGGAGTGGAGCAAGGGAAGCTGAAGGCTCAGAGCTCCTCTCCCAGCAACTGAACCACACAGCCCATTGCAGAGAAAGTTGGGCCCAGGGCGAGGGGAGGGGCACCCAGGAAAAGGAAGACTCCCTTTGCTGCATGAGCACACAGGGTGGTGTGCCAGAGTCTCAGTCAGAGCTGCTGTAAATTAAACAGCTGCCCTCTTATCCTTCCGCACCTTCATACAATATGAAATAAGGAAAACTTTTATGTTTTCCTTATTCTGCTTGTAGATTTGAACTTTTTATCTTTATTTGACTTCTCTGAGCTGTTGCAAAAATCAGTTTTTCGCATATTAATTAGAAATTCAGAACTCTCTTTTCATATCACGTGCAAGCAGTGTTGAGGACCGAAAGGTCAGGCACTCCGCCTTTAAATGCTGATTTTATGATGTTACCTAACAGTTGGCACATCTTTTTCTGTGCTGTGAAATGGCTCAGGGCCATTTGCTCCCTTCAAAATAAAAATATCCAGGTCATTTTATAATGTTTAGGGGACAATTATGGTTTGGAAATACTGGCTAGGAATGGTAAATAAGTAAAGAATAAAATAGATATTAACTTCCACTCATCTGGAAGTTTAAAAAACAGTAAGAACGTTGCCCTTATCATCTGAGATGAAAGACCCTGGGAGCAAAGTACCAGTTTTTGACACACACCTACTACACACGCAAGTGGGCACTGAGCTGCTGACCCTAATGTGATTCCAAAAATCTGAAGGCAGCCCCAGGAAAGACCCACCTCATTTATTTTAGAAAAATTGGGGTCATCTAATTTTGCTCTTTGGCCATTGGCAAACTTCAAGGTCTCTGCGATGTAGTGATAGGCCCTTGCTTTTCCCTTTGGTTCTTCCAGAACCACTTTGGTGAAATTGAACCCTGAAAGACAAGGAGAGTTGTGGATGACCTACCCATCAACAGACTTAAAAAAATATTTACAGGTGGTGCTCGACTTACATTCCAACATTCGGTGATGGCGCAGTGGTTGGAATGCAGTATTGCAGGCTGACTCTGCATTCCACTGCCAGCAGTTCGATCCTGATCAGCTCACGGTTGACTCAGCCTTCTATCCTTCTGGTCTTGGTAAAATAAGGACCCAGATTGTGGGGGGCAACAGGCCGACTCTGTAAACTGCTTAGAGAGGGCAGTGAAGCCCTGTGAAGCAGTGTATAAGTCTAAGGGCTACTGTTATTGCTACAACCAGAACTGGGACCAGAATTTTTATCACTAATTCATATGGTCATTAAGTGAGTTGTGACTGATTTTAATTTTTTTTGCCATGGTAATTAAGTGAATCACACATTTGTTAAGTGAATCTGGCTTCCGCCATTGACTTTTCTTGTTGGAAACCCCATAGGAAAGTCATAAATTTTCCTCTTTTTTATTTTTCTTTTTATATATATATATATTACCTTTAATTATTTTATAACTTGTTTAAGTAATGTATTTAGATTTGTTTATAGTTTTATAACTTATATTGAAAAGTTAATTTTCTTTTCATATTTTTTATGTATTTCTTTTTTTTCTTCTTTTCTGGTATTTATGTTTTTCTTTTTTTTAACATATATATTGTTGTTAATTATTTAGTAATTTGTTTAAGTAATGTATCTAGATTTATTTATATTTTATATTTTTCTTAAGATTTTTTGAAGAAATTCTAATTAAGCCTATATCCAGCTCTGGGATAGTCGGGGGAGGGAAGGGGAGGGTTGGGGAGAGATGGGGAAAACTGTTTTGTTTTTGTATTGTAAAATCTTATAAATTTTCAATTAAAAAAAAGAAGGAAAGTCATAAATGGTACCCTGGGATGCTGCAAGTGTTGTAAATATACGCCGGTTGTCAAGGAGCCAAATTTTGATCATCTAACTGTGGGGTCACTGCAACGGTCTTAAGTGCAGTAATCATTCACATTTTTCAGCACCGTCATAACTTTGAACAGTCATTAAACAAATGGTTGTGAGCACTACCTGTACTTTTGTTATGCTCAACTAAATAACAAAATTCTGTAGACGGAAGAATATTGTTTCCACTTGTCAGCTCTTGATATCTTTACTCCCAACACCATGGATGCAACTAAGAAGAACATTTGCATTCTTAAGATGCAGCAATTGAGCCCAAAACATTAATAATCCCATTGATGAGAGCCTCAGATGAGGTAATAGGATCAGAATAAATCAAAAGAGTTAATATTCCAATCTCCAGCAGCAAGGTGATCGCAACATTAAATGTCCCTTAGATTCATGTTTGGTTGTTGCTATATTACCTGCAGTTCACAGGAAATTGATTTCACATTGTTTAACTGTGTTTCAGGCTTGTTATTCTAGAAACCATGTAATAACTAATATAAATTTCATTAGCTCCAGTTTCCTATGAAGAAAGATTATTGACTTATAAGGCAATTAAAAGTCCTCCAAAGCTGTGGAATTCAAAACCAGTGACGATATTTGTAATAGCCCGATAGCGTAAGAATATAAAATGATGACTATAATGTGGGGGAATTTGCGCGCGCAGCAAACTACCATGCATTGCCCCCCACAAACCTCATAACCTTTTGATACCCTTTGTCCTAAGGAAGCAGCCAAAAGATCACCCCCTTTTGACTTAATATCTTACCTACCTAAATAAATAATATGCTTTAAGTTCCCCCTTATCTCTTCCTGTCTTTATCTCTTCTTGTCTTTATCAGTTCTTTCTCCTTTTCTAATTTACCTGTATTTGTTTTTACCTGCTCTCAACAGGTAATGTGTTACTAGAAAATAATTGCTTATATGAAGGAATTTTTCAATTACTTTATGTCAACAACTAAAGGTTAAACTTCTAAATGTAAAATGTCAGCAGTTAATGGTAAAGCCTATGTATGTAAAAAGTATATAAGAAACAATAAACTCAGAGTTTTGTCAAGCTATGTGAAGCTGTGTCTTGAAGCTTCAAACTTCTGCTCAAGACATGCCTGAGTCTTTTTCTTAGCATCGTTACACTATAAAGTAAAGAAATCCTTCAAATAGGGAGGTTTCCCTTTAAATCCTAAAGACAGCAACACAAAAGCACCCTCTCAAAAAACCCAGGAAGTGTCTGGACGAGCTAGCACCTGGAGAACCAGCTCCTGCTGTCTGCAGGTTACTTCCCAATGAACAAAGGCGATAACTTCCCTAGGAAAGGAATCCCTTTCACAAGAAAAGGTTTCAGCGAATGCCTTTAAACAGTATCAGGCAGGAATCAGTCAAACTCTGTAGAAATGAGCCACCAAAAGTCAGAACTGATTAAATTATGCACTGGACTATCTAAGCCTCATTTTGCCAGCTGAGAAACTAACAAACACCGACAGGCAGACAAGTCCTGATAAAGAGATAGGATTAGGAAGGTTTCACAAGAACCCATTGTGAGTAATCTTGTACTAAATAGGACAAATGGAATCTTGGAGCAGAAATGACGAACGTAATCAACCGAGTGTGAACACTAGCCTTGAGAAAAAAAGTCACATCGATTGACATGCTTTAAATAATAAACTTTCTATATAAATATCTGAGCCAGCTTTTACTCCGGGCAATTCATTTAGAACTCTGTTCCAAGAGCCAGGCTCTCTGTTTCTGCAGAAACAATCAGCTGGAAAATGACCTTCCTCGTTGCAGGGTGGTGTTGGCCAACCACTGGACCCAAAAAATAAAATTTTACATTTAAACTGAGATAGATCGAGCTTATTTTCATCTCTGCCAAAAAAAACCAGCTCTCTTTGAACTGAATGGTTACAAAACAACAATGTTATTAAAGTCTCACTTCACTAAAAACAAATCTTTGGATCTTGTTTTTAAATTGAATTATCCCATAAACAAAGTTTTCATGGGGAAGGGCCCCAGGCATCTGCCTTCTTGCAGCACCCTTCCCAGCAGGGATTCCGATTCCTGCTCAGACCTCCAGGTAATAATTCTCAGGGTGAGCCTAAAGACCTAAACACTGAATTTCCCTGTTCCATCCACTGACCAACCTCTGATGAAGGCCCAGCTGGAAGACAGGAGATGGGTAAAACTACCTTTCTCAAAGGTAAAATCTTGTAAGAGGAAGGAAATGTATTTGATATCTTGGAAATTAGTTTAACACGCTCTTTACAGGAAGGCTTTGCGTGATGTCGATTAAGTCTGGAATTAAATTCCTCCTAGTTACATTTATCTTCCCTTCCATGTCCTGGCTGAGAAGAATTCCTGGAAATCCTTAGCCCAAGATAAACAAATTCAGCCTAAAATCTTGATTGTTTCTACAGTTATTATTATAATATAAGAGTACTGAAGCTGATTTATTCAAGTTTATAGACAGAATTCAAAATGACATTAAATGAGATTAGGAGTATAAAATTTAAGAAAGCATATAGTAAAATCTTATGTTTGGCTGTTTACTCAGTTCTATTATCATAAAATCATAGAATTGTGGAGTTCAAAGTGGCCACAAAAATCACGTAGACCAAGTCTATATTCAGAATTTCTGTTTATACAGACTGAAGGTTTAAAGGCAAATTACAAAAAGAAAGCCATCCTTATATGGCAAACCACTCACTAACTCATTACTTAAGGGTTGAATAAAATGTATCAAACCACAATATGAAAAGTTTGGGGAAGTTTGAGTCAAAAAACATTTTAAAATATCAAGGAACTCTATCAGAGCATGCAAAGAAATTAACTCATATCTTTTCTAATTTGAGGAAACAAGAACGGCATTAAAGTACAGTATCAGAAACAACAACGGATCAAAAATCCATTGCTGTATAATTATATACTCTAATTTAATCAACCAGCCAAAGTTGATGAAATTGTAGCATGCTACAATTTATAATAATTATAGTGGAATTCATGTTCAGCTCAAGAATAACTTGCCTCGTTAAAACCAAAGTAATGTGGGTGGCTTTGGAAAAAACATATTCCTATCGAAGAAAAACAAAAAACAAAAAAAGATCAATATAGCAATAGCAATAGCACTTAAACTTATATACCTCTTCACAGTGCTTTACAGCCCTCTGTCCACGGTTTACAGAGTCAGCATACTGACCCCCCACAATCTCGGTCCTCATTTTACTGACCTCAGAAGGATGGAAGGCTGAGACAACCTTGAGCCGGTGAGAATCGAACTGCCAAATTGCTGGCAGTCAGCAGAAGTAGCCTGCAGTACTGCATTCTAACCACTGTGCCACCACAGTTTATATACTTTTTATATTAATATTCTGGAAAACCATCAGGGCAAGGAGTGGTTTTCAACATCACAGAATAATTGTAATGACAGTTACTGGAGGTGAAGAGCAAGTAGTTAACCACAGAAAATTGTTGTACAAAAAGAACTCAAGTTCTGTAAACAAAAGAAAACCCAAACCCCTCTATTCCCTCTTCTCTTGCTGAAGCCTCTGTGCAGCCCTCCTTTGTATCTTGAATAGATGCTGCAATATCACATTAATCTGACTCTGGCAGGCAGCATCATACTGGGTTTCCTCCAGAATCATCTGCTTTATGCCATGAGCTAACAATTCTGCTTTGGAAAAAAAGCTTCTGTGCAATCGTTTGGTCTTGAATAAATGCTGCAGCAGTGCCCCACTCTCAGACAGCAATCACCCCGAGTTCCTGTTAAAGCCAGTAAAGACCCAGATGCAGTCCCATCCCTCAGTTCTGGGCAGGTAGAATTCTGGGTTCCTAGCCTTGAACAAGTCCCAAAGACAGGGTTTCTCCATCTTGACAACTCCCAGAATTCCCAAGCAGGTAGTTGAGTCCACATGTCTTAAAGATGAGAAACCGTGTCTTAGGAGGAAGGGCAGCCCTCTTTGGGAAGGCTCAAAGCCTGTTGCAGAAGCCTGGTGCTTGACTTGTGGAATAAGTTGCAATGGACCACATTTTTTTTTTACTGCCAGCCCACCAGAACAGCTAAAGGACTGTCACCGATGATGAATTTCCAAGCTAGTCTCCAAGAAGAGCCCTTCCCCATCTGGTCTCACAAGAACCTCACCACCCAAAAGCCAACTGTGGTTCTTCCCCAGCTGGCCCCTACCTTGGTTAATCAAGAGGCCCCTGGGGGCCAAGAGCTGCCCTTTGCTCATTTACCTTTTAGGACATTGAGAATGAAGAAAAGGACTGCTCCGGCTGCTGGCCTCGGGGCTGAGAATATGGTATATTTGTCCAATGACATATTCAAGGGTTTCACCAGTTCAACATGGTAATTCTTGAGATCCTCCATTGTCAAAGTGCCACCTAAACAATGTTGGCAAAAAAGAATGAATCTTTCAATCCTCCTAGGAGGTGATACTTTTCAGAAAGGAGGTGCATGGTGATATCTCTCTCTCTCTCTCTCTCTCTCTCCTTGAAGTCTGCAGACTAGGAGCAGGTCTGAGCCTGAGAGTTGCCATGGTGACCAACAGGCAGCCTTCAAAACTATCAGCAGCTCACTCTTCTCTGCCCCTTTTTCTGGAGAGAAGATCTTGGATTACGTATCCATAATTAAAGTGGACTTCTGTGCAACTTCATGTGAGAGCCATTTTGGAAACCACTGGTTATCTTAGCCATTACAGGGCCCTTCCCCTCTTGAACCAAACTGTGGTACAAATATGAATGTATCACAATTTTCTTTTTCTTATCTGCAGCCCAAGTCTCAGTCAACTTTACAGCATCCTTCGCTGTGCTGGTGAGAAAGTACCGCCTTTTCCCTTACCCCAACGTCCATTTTGCATGGCTGTGACCTCACAGGTGCAGAGATCCCTGCAGGTTGGACGGATCCTGGCACCTCTTGGCTGTTCCAGGCCGGAATGGGACAAGTCACCAAGGGACAATTCAACAAATACAAAAGTTAAATTTATTTCAATGGGACCGTGGCCAATAATAATAAAGTCAAGAGTTACCAATATTTCAAGAACAATATGGTCACCAATAATAAAAATAACTGAATGAAATGATTAATACATTGTTGAATTGTCCCGCAGTGAGTTGGCCGTGGCGAGTTGTCCTAGAGCTGTTCCAGGCTGGGTCAGCCTCTCTTCTCCTCTAGTTTCTCTCTGCTTTGGGCAGTGGGAGTCTTGGGCTCTCTTCACGGAGACTTTCTCCTCTGTAGACCAGGTCTTGGAGCAGTCCGAACAGCTGCTGACCAACGGGGGTAGTGGAGGGGCCCCAAAGGGAAGTGGGGGAGAATAAATTTCCTGATGTCTTTTGGCTGTTTTTGGCTGTTTTTGAAAATGAGCTTAGCGTGCTTTGAAGGTAATGCAAAATCCGTACGTGAAATGAGCCTGACTTTCATGTGTCCACATTCCAGAAGTAAGAACAGCGCTGTTTTCTACTGGCTTAAGAACTCATGGATGGCTGGGGGGAAGAGCCCGTGGCCGACCCATTTATGTCACCCAAACTGCTAGTTACAATTTCAATATTCATCAATGCTCCCATTTTGACCTAAAGCGCTTGCAGTAACTAGGGAGGCAGGGGGCTTCTCTGAAATATCAGAGCCGTGAGTTCAGCAAAAAAACAGTATGAATCTTGTCCTCCCAAACTGTTGACTGGAAAATCAAAAGGGAAAATTTTCTAGAAGCCATAGGACATATTTACAAACCTGTGTAACTCACTGCTTCCTCTTATTCTTTATCTTGTTGTGAAAAGCAGGACAGAGCGAGAGCCGATTTTGCCTTCTCTGCTACCAGTTATCCATTAATCCTCCCTGCTTACTTCCTATTCTCCAGCTGTGGTGAGACCCGAGGGGACTCACGCCACGACTGCCAGAGAGGCCTGTGGAAGGCCTCTGGACAAGAGGGAGCCCGCCTGACCAGGCCTCCAAAGCTTGCTGGAAGGAAAAGTGCCTGCAGAGAAGCTGCCATGCCCCCAGAGAGCCTTTTCTCTCTACTCCAGCATCTCCCCAGCCCCTCTGAAGGGGACGTGAAGGGCATAAGGGAGGTCAGACAGGTCAGGCAAGAGCACCCACAGGCACAGGCTCCCCCTCTCTCGGCCGAGGGTCTGTCACTGCCCCAGTTCACAGAACCTGAGTGGCTGCATTGCTCAGATCCCAGGCTCAGAGATCGCCCCAGCATGAAACAACTGCAGATTATTTACTTCGTGAGTGGCAGGAACATCAAAAGGAACCGTGCAACTTAGCCCTACCTTCAGCTCTGACATCTTGCACTAACTTTTCTGCCGTCTTCCCAGTGTAGAATTCTTCGGCCCCGTTTTTTGCCACAGCTCTGAGGGTCTTCTCTAGGGCTGCCCAGCGTAAGTCCTCTCCGTGGCTCAGGACAGCTCCTCGGTCATTGCAAAGCAGTTGGCTGAAAGGGAGGCCAAGAAGGACAGCGGTCAGCGAGCGGTTCCTGCTCTTGGGGCCTCTTTGGGGAAGTCCTGATTTAGCCTCTACACACAACCAGCTCTGGTTAACGCCCAAGAATCTGTGGCCAGATATGACTTTCCTTTAAATATAGGGAATCTGTGACTTCATTTAGTGACCATTCAAAATTACAACAGCACTGAAAAAAGTGACTTATGACCAGTTTTCACACTTAACTCATGGTCATGTGATCAAAATGCAGAAGCTTGGCAACTGACTCATATTTGTGATGGTTGGAGTGTCCGAGTTTTGTGATCACCTTTTTTGATCTTCTGACCAGCAAAGTCAAAGGGGAAGCCAGATTCACTTAACAACCAAGTTACTAACCTAACAACTGCAGTGATTCCCTTAACAACTGTGGCAAGAAAGGTTGTAAAATGGGGCAAAACTCACTTAACAGCTGTCTCGCTTAGCAACAGAAATTTTTTGGCTCAATTGTGGTCATAAGTCCAGGACTCCCTGTCCATTTCTCCTGGGACTGCATTTAGGATCACTCTGGGCGAGTACGCTTTCCATGCCTTTCCAGATATTGCCTTGATGTGTGGGTCTTCTCCATTTCTGTGGGACTAAAGGTTCTGCGGTGGGAACAGCTGAAGCTCCCGATGGCCAGAGGGTAGAGGGCAGGCTCCCCCCTGCCCCTTCCCTGAAAGTGGGGCTGTGGCGGCTACTCCCCCTGGCATGCCATGTAGAAGCATGCCTTCCCCCCCCACCGAAAGGGAAGGAAAAGGCTGACTCTCTTCACACCCACCCACCCCCTACAACTAGGCAAGAAGAGGTGCTGCTAGGCCAGGCCTATAGGCAAACAATGATGCTGGGCCTCAGTAAAGATAGCTTGGGGACAGCAGGGGGGAGAGAGAGAGATAAGAAAGACCAAGCGAACTATTTCCCCATCAAGGCTTATCCTGATCCTTCTTGGGGAGCTGGAAGGATAAGGCCAAGGTCCCTCTTTCCAAAGGGGAGGGGGAGGGCATGCCAGTCAAGCAAGGGAGGCCTGGGAGCGATTAGAGGGGATCAGCCTGGGCGCAACCTGGAAACAAAGCAATACTACCTAGATATCAGCAGAGATTTGTGAATGACAGGCTTTATCCATCTACCTTCCTTTTTTACTGAGTAATTTTATGGACAGTGTTTTTGCAAGGCATTGGCATTGACGATCTGACTGTCTCCCCCCCCCCCCACTACTAAGGTCAGATGGCTGGTTCTTATTGACGCTGAGCAGGGTCCTGCAGACCCAAAGTCACTTGTGTGAGATGGAGAGCTATATAAATCAAATAAGGGGAGTAACAGGAATATTATCACAATGTAACTTATTTGGGCACAGCAGTTGATAGTGTATCCCATATTTTAATTAGCAACTTAATTAAACATGGTCAACTGTTGACTTTATTATACTCAGATATCCTTAGTTCCTAATCAAACTGGAGGGTTGTACTAAGAGGTACCACAAGGTTTAGAATAAAAAAGTGGAAGGGATGGATATCAGATTTGCAGATCATATAGCATTCGGTGAAATATAGAATGATTAAAAGACAGGAACTGAATTTAAAAACGCTCAAGGATTAAAGACGTTGGCTGAAAATAAGAGATTCCGTTTTTCACTTAGAAAACAGAAATCAAATGTACACGTATAAGACGAGTTGATATCAAGAGGTATGAAAAGACTTGAACTTGTGGCTCATCAGAAGCTGAATATGGAGGTTCATACTAGAGAACCTTAAAGATAGTTTCATATTTCTAAGAATATTCTTCCAAGTAGCAAGCATTATTTTGTGATGGGCAACTATGGCAAAAGGATTATAGAAAACTTTCGTAGCCTGGCTATGTTCAGCATTGCTGTAAAGCAGAGCTTTTCAACCTTTTCACCCACTGTACCATTTTTTGGATATGGCAATATCTGAGTACTACCAGTCACTTAGCAAGGTGTCAAAAACTTGATGACCCCCCCAAAAAATGGAAAAAAGTGACAAAGTACAGGTAGTACTTGACTTAGTGACTGTTCACTTAGTGACTGTTCAAAGTTACAATGGCACTGAAAAAAGTGTCCCCCAAGTCACAGCTGAGCAAGACACTCGCCTGCCCGCCCGGCTGCGCTTTTCCTCCTGTCCGAGGTTTTCACTGTTGTGAGGACTGGCAGCAGGGATGGGGTGGGGGTGTGTTTGGTTTTTATTCCCCCCATCTGCTGGGTGGTTGCAGCAAGTTTTGGTCACTTCACATGACCCTGGGACACTGTGACCTTCATAAATAGGAATTAGTTGCCAAGCATCTGAATGTAAATCACAAGACCCTGGAGATGCTGCAACATTCCAGCTGATCGGCGCTTCTTCTGGGCTCAGAAGCGCCAGGATCAGCGCCGAGCTCCAGCTGGAGCCTGGCACTGATCCTGGCACTTCCGTTGAGCCCTGACAGCCCTGCAGCTCCAGCCATCTCTCATTCAGGCTTGTGCGGTGCTGCCACCAGTTCAGCTCATTCCCCTCCCCTGCTGCCACTTTTCTAGGATGGTCACGTACCACATGCCAGGTGCCAAAGTACCACAGGTGGTACCTGTACCACTGGTTGAAAAGCCCTGCTGTAAAGATCCAAACAGGATACTGGCCTGCCATTGGCCAATCCCACATTTAAAAGTTTGATCTCACCATAAGGACGAGTTCTTCAAAGGCGACTCCAGGAATTTCAGAAACTGGCTCAAAACCTCTGGTATCTGGATTCCAAGGCCAAGCATCTCAATGGTGGGTTCAAAAAGGTCCTTCCATGGCAATTTGCCATAGCGTAGGTGAGCTTCTTCATAACCACGAAGCTCCCCAGGAATAGCGATCCATTGAGACCCTGTCGAAGGAAGGCATTATGGATAATGCAGAGTCTCCTCAAATTACTTTTCTATATTTCACCCTAATTTCACTAATAGATTGCTTGGGTTAGTTCCAGAACTCCCTTGTGACTTGTAAAAACATACCAAAATTATTAGTAAAAAAATCTGAGTGTTTACCTCAGTGTTTCTCAACCCTAGCAATCTTGATAAGGTGTGTGAACTTCATCTCCCAGAATTCCCCAGCCAACCAGCCAGCCACACATCTTAAAATCAGTCAGGTTGAAAAACACTGACTTACCTGATCACTCATTCTAGCAAAACCCTTTCAGATGCAAGTATGGTTGATGTTTTTAAGGGTCATAAGTCAGAAGAGAATGGCTGTTGATATGAATGCCCACCTGTATGTTTGCTTAAGGAATCCTCTTTGGGGTTAAAGAGGCTAAGTTCCTCCACATTTTAAGTCTTTAAGGTATTTAAAGTCACTGGACAGTCGCTTGTCTGAAATGGTATAGGATCTCCTGTTTGATCATGGGGTTGGACTATATAGATGATTTCCAAGATCCCTTCCAGCTCTATTCTGATTGATTGATTGATTGACATGTGAAATCCTATCACTCTTAGGGCATCTAAGTGGCAACACCTTAAGCCATTAATCATGGGTTGCAAAACTCAACCTGATTCACACACTGGACTGAAGACACTTGTAAGGGTTTTTTTTTTGGGGGGGGGGTGAGGCCAGCCAATGTGTTGATGCCATCTTACACAATCTGCCTCTATGGTGAAACCACCTTTGGGGGGGCTGGCTCTTATCCCAAGGCAGCTTCATGTTTCTTCCAGTGGAAATGAGGTCATCTCTTGGTCAAGGTAATACCTGCCAGGTTGATTCTTCCAAATAGATCAAAAAACAGGGTCTCAAGTCCCCCAAGCATGCATTTCCTCCCCAGCCCCACTGATACAAACCATGGTATTATTGAATTGTAGAGTTACCTGGAAGCAAAGTGCCTGTACACCTTTTCAGCAAACCTTCAGTGATGTTTTGGGGAGCCCTTTCACGAGCATTGAGCACCTCAATTTTCCCTGCAGTCCAAAGAACACATTGAAAAATCCACACAGCTTCTGTGGAGGTGATGAATAACATCTAGCTTTGTCCTGACAAAGTTTACCTAGATTCCACTCTCAAATCTCTTATTTCACTCACAAACCCCGTGTTCAATCGACATTTAAAGCTATAGTTTGTTGGTAGATTACACTGTCTTAATTTTCTCAGGGTCTTAAAAAACATGATTCAAAGTAGTCAAAAGTGACCAAGCCACCTTTTCTGAGGAGCAGTGCCTGCTGCTACATTAATGGCCCCACCGGAGGCCACTTCTTCTTGAGCTTGGAGGAGCCTACCTGTGGGTGCATCGTAGATGGTGAAAATAATGCCTCCACCCAGGCCCATGCTCTGTGGATTCAGGACTGATGTGCAGATCAAGGCTGCAATAGCAGCATCCACTGCAGAGCCGCCACGTTTCAAAATGTCCCTGTGGGGCATAAAGAGGACAGAGCGTGAAACATCAAAAACCTGGCAGCACAACGGGCTCACCGGCCTCTGCCTGTTGAAGGCAGATTGGATCACAACAGCTGCCTGAAGGGTCAATGGTGCCCTTCAGCAGGCAGAGGCTAGTGACCAGTGGCTGCTGATTTAACTGTAGTGGGGAGCAGGACTTCACCTGAAGACTGTGGACCGTCTCTGAGGATGCAGATGAATCCACAAAGTACATGCAGTTCTCCCTTCCAACTCTTGTGTGCTTGTCCTCACTGGTTAAGCAAACAGAAGAGCTCAAAGGAGACTTGCAACACAATTCATCAGCAGGAATGGGCAGGGAAGAGTAGAGAATGTCTAGACAGCCAAGGATTCTGAGGAATTGCACACTCAGCTATTGGGCTCATCAACAGTTGCTGTTACAAGACACGTGTCCTGAGAGTTGCTGATAATTGCTGATTGTGAGTGAGTGAATGCCTGCTTGTTCTTGAGAAATCAGAGTTGCAGCCTAGGAATATAAGGCAACCAGATTTTGGAGCGGGAATTCACTGGGCAAACAAACGGTACAGAGGCAGCTAATACAATGTTTGTTCATTTGTTTGTTCATTTATATTCCACCTTTGTTATTTTTATAGCTCACTAAAGGTGGAGAACATATCTAATACACCTCCCCCCTTCTAGTTCCCACAGCAACAATCCCCCCCCCCATGTTGGGCTGAAAGAGAGTGACTGGCCCAAAGTTGGAACAAGTTTGTGAAGACAGCGTGTTCAATGACTCTACTACATTTTCCCTGTGTGACTTTCTACTAGAGCTGCCTAAAAAACAGAAGAGGAACCAACATAATTCAGACGTCTGAACTACAAAGTCTTTGGCGTGTTTGCTCTCTCAAAACAATTTAACTTATATTTGCAGCAAAGACAAATTAGCACTAGGGGAAAGAAAGTCCAAAGATTGGAACACTGAGTGGGCACACTTCAGCTCGTGAGGAAAACGGAAGATTCACTGGACCGAAAGGGCCCTGAAGCTGAAAGAAGCAACTCTCCACAAGGAAGAAACCAAATGGAGGAGGAAGTTCGGGGAAATGAGAATGACAACTGAGAGCAAAAGGCATGGAGGCCTTCTGCATCTCTAGAAATCGGAAACAACTTTGAGGGACACACCAAGAAAAGGATATCCTGCAGTACCTGAAGGTGGGCCCTGAAGGCAGAGGAAACCCATTACAGAAATAACATTCAAACATTCAATCCTTTTAAGTTAATGAAATGGCTTGAAAATAAGAGAATGTTTGAAAGAGTTATTTGTTAAAAGAAACCAAGCATACAGGTCCTGTCCTTTGGAAATGATGATGATAATGTAAATAATAATGATAGATAGATAGATAGATAGATAGATAGATAGATAGATAGATAGATAGATAGATAGATAGATAGATAGATAGATAGATAGATATAAATAGGAGGGATAGGGAGGGAGAGGGAGAGGGAGAGAGAGAATCATCTGCATAGATCCCTACGGGATGCTCCTGAATTGCTCCCATGACCTCCAAAATCACATCATCAAATCCTGCCAATGGGATCCTGCTCCTCCTCCTACCGAGGAGCAGTGAAGGTCTTCTGAAACATCTTTAGAGCTGTTACAAAAGATGCTGCCCAGGCAAACTTGACAGTACTTTGCCACAATTGAGGTCTCAACTGAATATTCTTCAATCTCAGCCATGACTTTTTCTGCATCAAGACGAACAGAGGCCAGGCAGGGAGGAGGCGTAGCACACTTGTAGTCCTGCATCCACTTTTGGTCACCACATTATAAAAAAGATGGTGAGACTCTGGAAAGAGCGCAGAGAAGAGCAACAATTAGGGGGTGGATAAAACAATTGAATGATAGGAATTGGGTTTGTCTAGTTTAATGAAAAGAAGAAATAGGGTGACATAATAGCAGTGTTCCAGTATCCGAGGGGCTGCCACAAAGAAGAGGGGGGTCAACTTATTCTCCAAAGCACCAAAGGGCAGGACGAGAAACAACGGATGGAAACTGACCAAAGAGAGAAGCAACCTGGAATTAAGGAAAAACTTCATAACCAGTGAGGACAATTAACCAGGGGAACTGCTTGCCTCCAGAAGCTGTAGAGCAGTGGTTCTCAACCTGTGGGTCGGGACCCCATTTGGGGTCGCCATTTTTCACCCCCCTTTTCTTAGCTGTGCTACTCCCTTTTATTCTATTGGCTTTTGAGAGCCAATAGAATAGACTCTCTTGAATAGAGTCTAATTCTATTGGCTTTCAAAAGCCAATAGGGATTGTCCAGGCTGTCTCTGCCCTGCTGAGCCCGCCAAAAGTCCCATTCTGCAAACGGTGCTGCACCAGTTGAGTAGTCCTCGACTTATGACCGGTTGGGGGTCCTGGCATTAAAAAGGTTGAGAACCACTGCTGTAGAGGCTCCATCACTGGAGGTTTTTAAGAAGAGATTGGACAGCCACGTCTCAAATTGCACAGGGTGTCCTGCTTGAGCAGGGGTCGGACTAGAAGACCTCCAAAAGTCCCTTCCAGCTCTATACCGAATTTAATCTTCTTCCTTAGCTGGTTGGGCAACCAGAGGAGCTGAGCAGGGAGCCTCAGTCACCGGCCCAGCAGGGACGAGCTAGAGCGGCTCCAGGGCTTTCTGGGGACTCTGGTCGACCTTCCAGCGGCCACGCTCTCCCCGTCTCCTCCAGGCGAGGAAACCGCGAGGTGGCAGCGTGTAGTCCCGCAGTTCCCTCTCGGTTCGGGGCACCGAGCTCGCCCGCCTCCTTCCCCGACCTTCTAGACTACGGGGCGGCTGTCAAAGAGCCCCCGAGCGGGTGGCCCTCCTTCAAACCCCCAAACCTGCACAGGGAAGGGGGAAGCGGTCCGTTTGGCCTGGGAAGGGAAAGTGCCTCTGGTTCTGGTCCAGCCGATGCCGGACTCGGCTGTCTGCCCCCCCTGCCCCCCCACTACATCCCAGGGCAGATCCCACCGAGTCACTTGCTGGCCTCTTCCCTTCTGTCTGCAAGAGGCCCCGGCTCTGAGGCTTTGGGCCCACCCGGCCCTTCGTCCCCCAGGCAGAGGGAGGGCAGCGGCCCCAGCAGCGCTTGGCAGGGCCTGGCTGGAGGGGAGAGGGCTCTAGTTCGTCGGCAAAGCAGCAAGGCAACAGCAAACCGGCCACAGTGGCTGAGGCTCCCGGCCCCTCCTTGAGACCCAACTGTGCCCCCCCCTTTAGCCTTACTCCAAAAAGAAGGGGGGAGGCTGATGTGCTCCGAAGAATGCGCCTCCCACGCTCTCTAAAAGCCCTGGAAGCCCTTTCGTGAAACATACAAGGGTCTGTTCGGAAGCCGCCCTCTCGCTCAGGAAGAGGGCAAATGGAGCGGGGGAGGCAAGAAGGCAGAGACCCTCTTTTCCTTCCCACAAACCAGGCAGGAAGCAGGGCAGCAGCTTGATGACCCTGTAGCCAATATGGGGAGCTGCCTCCAGTGACACTGGTCCACCTACCCCCAATATTTGAACTGTGGGGAAGGGTCTTCTTATATTTTCTGAGAAGAATGGGAGGGAGCCCCTTTTAAGGCTAACAAATGTAATTGTGAGGCTCAGCTGCAGCTCACACCAGCCGCTGCCTTGTAATCAAAGGTCTGGGAGGGGCTGCCAGCTCTCTCTGATGGGGGCCCATCCTGAGGGCGAAGAAGAGGTGAGGCTGCTTGGGGGCAAAGGGTGGCATGGAGGGTAGCGCCTGCTTGGCAGGGTGTCCTGCCACCTTTGGGGGAGACTCTGCTCACATCTCCATTTCTCTGGTTGCCCTGTGTCTCTCTCCTCCTCTCCCCCCTTGCCCCTCCCCATCTCCATCCTGCTCCTCGCTTGGCTTTTCCAGCCGGTGAGGTGGAGGGCAAAGGGCTCCAGTGAGAGATCCTAGTGGACTTCTGCAGCTGGACCCTCAGCTAGAATAGCAACCCTGTGGTTGATTGGAGGAGGGCAGGGAATCTGGGCACTGCACAGGATCTTTGCTTGTGGGTCCGCCACTTTCTCAACCCCTCCATTGGGTGAGGAAGTGTCTTAAATGCAGAATGTTTCCATTCAGGCAAACCTGGTTGTCCAACACTAAGGACTTACTTAAGAAAGAGAGACTACAATCTCAGAAAAGCTGAAGTATGGTGTGTAGACTTCCGTCATGAGCTGAACATGCCCACAACAAAGTCCAAAGACCCATTTTTCAGAACCTCTTTGGGCGAAGAGAGGAGAGGAAATCGCCCACAGATGGATGCGCCTTGTGAGGAGACCTCAGGGCAGGGGTCTCTCCCGGGGGTTTCAGTGCCAGCAGATGAAGCAATCAGCCATCAGGCTCATGGTAACGGGGGAGACTTTTAAAGGCTACTTTTAGAAATGGCTTACCTAACCATCTTAAAAGTACTAGAGATTTTTGAAATGACAAATCTGGTGAGACTATCTTCATTTTTGAATAGAAAAATGGGAAAATTAAAAAATATAGCAAAAATTACCTATAAATTTAAGAACTTGAACAATTTGAAATAAATGACAAAAAGCTAAATAAAATTTGGAACTAAGAAAATTATAAATAAATTAAGGATCCAGACAAGAATTGCACTTTTACCATAAGATTTTAGAAGTAACAATATAAAATAAATAGCTTTGTGTGGCAACCTAACTTATTTTGTTTAGTCATATTAGAGATCTGACAACTTAAATTGGACACTTGAAGAGATTAAAGATTCCAGGGGAAAAGGGAAAAAAAAAGAACTTGGCCTTTGCCTTAGGATTCGAGTTTGCAAAATGACACAAATACTATAATGTTTCTCATCAAATTTGCAGATGACACTAAACTGGCCGGAATAGCCAACACCTCAGAAGACAAACTCAGGATTCAAAAAGATCTTGCCAAACTTGGATCAATGGGCCCTATCCAACAAAATGAGTTTCAATGTGGAGAAAAGCAAAGTTTTACATTTAGGCAGGAAAAATTAAAGATATAAATACAGATTAGGTGAGTCCTGGCTCAAAAACAGTAACTGTGAGAGGGACCTTGTAGTCCTAGTGGACAATCACTTGACTATGAGCCAGCAGCAGCAGCCAAAAAAGCTAATACACTCCTGGGTTGTATAAACAGAGGCATAGAATCAAGATCACACAAAGTATTAGTACCGCTTTATAACACTCTATTAAGACCACACCTGGAATACTGCAACCAATTTTCGTCACCATACTAAAAAAAATGTTGAGACCTTGGAAAAAGGTCAGAGAAGAGCAACTAAGATGATCAAAGGCTTGGAGACTAAAACATATGAAGAACGGCTACAGGACTTGGGTTGGCTAGTCGAATGAAAAGAAGAAATAGGGGAGACATGATAGTAGTATTCCAGTATTTGAGGGGCTGCCACAAAAAAGAGGGAGCCAGGTTGTTCACCAAAGCACCAGAGGGCAGGACAAGAAACAATGGTTGGAAACTGATCAAGGAGAGAAGCAACCTGGAATTAAGGAGAAACTTCCTAACAGTGAGGACAATTAACCAGTGGAACAACTTCCCTCCAGAAATTGTGGGTGCTTCATCACTGGAGGTTTTAAGAAGAGACTAGACAGTCACTTGTCTGAGATGGTACAGGTTCTCCTGCTTCAGCGGGGGGGGGGGGTG